ATATTTTCATTTTTATGTAATCAGGCTTTCCGTTCGTTTACATGACACAACAACGGGAAATACCTCCGTTTTCGAAGCTTCGTATGAATAACATGCGAGGCGAATCAGATAATTTCTGGGTGTTCGGTACCAGCACGACAACGCCAGGCCTCACACAGCTCGTATTGTTGTGAACTTCCTTGCCGCAAACAACGTCGACGTCTTACCGTGGCCGGCATGCTCTCCGGACCTAAATCCCATACAGCACCTCTGGGACATCTTGGACAGGCGTGTTAGGCTCCGACAACACCCTCCCACCAACAGGCAAGAGTTGGTACAAGCTCTACAGGCCGAATGGAACCGCTTGCCACGTAACCTCATTAGACGTTTGACGTCTTCGGTCCGACGTCGAGTTCTTGCATGTGTGGCTGCAAGGGGTGGCCATACACGGTATTTAAGTGACACATTTTGTGACTGGAACCACTATCTTGGTTTGAATGAATTGTACTGGACATCTGGATAACCGAAATTTTACCCCCTACTGGCTTTGGATGTCTGTAGTGCAATGTGTGATCGCAGAACACCAATTTTCTGTTCTTCAATGTTTTCTGGCATTGTTGATATATTAAATATACTTTACCTCAAACTTCTATTGTTTTCAGTTTTGGAATGAGAATGATTTCAATCTGGTGAAAAGTTTCTTTTGCCGGTCGGTTTATATATGTTGTTTTAGACACGATTTGGCTGAAATATTGCCAAAGTGACTTTAAATTTTAACTCACTCACTATTAGATCAAACATATCAAGACGGAACAGAAGGCCACACGAAGGAGATCAAATGACTGCAAAGTAAGCATCTACTGTATTGTGCTATAAGAGAGTGAGTTCGGTTTTACGCCACTTTTAGCAATAATCCAGCAATATCACGGGGAGTGGGGGTGGGGGTGGGGTCACGAGAAATGTTTTTCACACATTGTGCCCACGTGGGGAATTGAACCCGGGGCTTTGGCGTGACAAGCAAACGCTTTAACCACTAGGCTGCCCAACCGCCCTTTTTTCAGAAATATTAAAATATTAAGGATAATGTATGTATTTGAGTCTATGGCATTAGAACACACCGTTATGCCCTGGTAGTGAAGGCATTCAACTTAATGAATAAGCCCTATAGTCCCTCAAGCATGGAGTTAATAACAGTTCTATTTGTTACGTTCATGGTGACAGTCACGTAAAATGAAAAATGACCTTCGGTGTAGCCATTAAATGGCTTGAGCAATCAAAAATTCAAATTTCTATCGAATGTCTATTTGTGTGTTGCTTGACGCCGCACTTAGCAATATTTCAACTGTGTGACGGCGGTTTGTAAATAATCGAGTCTGGACCAGACAATCCAATGATCAACAACTGAAGCATCGATCTACGCAATTGGGATACGATGACATGTGTCAACCATGTCAGCGAGCCTGACCACCCCGATTCCGTTAATCGCCGGATTAATGTGTTTCCATTGGAAGTACATATGAGAGAGAATCATATAATTACAAAATGACACAGGTTGAGTAAATTTCACAGCTGGCTTCCGTCCCGGCCGTAATGCCTAGTCCTTCAACTTCCACTGTCCATGTATCCCACATAAAACGTGGCATGTCAGGTCTTTTCCAAATTTGGGAATAGTAGGGTGGTTATCAACAATTATTTCCGTGAATAAAGTTAGCGGCGACTAAACTTAGCGTGTTCACGGCCTGAATTTGGGCGAGTCGATTGTCATACAGTAGGGGAGATCAATAATTCGCGTAAGAAAAATCAAATAAATTTACTTGCTCACAGTATAAACTGTATTTTTTTTATGTATGCTACTTGTTACAAATACAAGTATACTGGTTCCTGAAATATAGCATTTATTTTGTTCATTACACAACCCGTCCCTCAACGGGACGATTCCAAACGATTTCCAGGAAAAAGGCCCCTTTGCGCCTTGTGTTCTTGCGCGCCAAACAGTTCGGTTTAAAAACACTTATCAGTCATGCTAGAATGAAGATAAAGCTACTCTGTTTTCAATTTTGCGGTCCATTAACGCGTTCGGTTTTTAAATTTAATCGTTGATTTAAGACCGTTAAATGTGTAATTTCAAACCTCACGCTAACGCGTTCGGTTTTAAATTACATTTAGCGGTCTTAAATCAACGATAAAGGACTTCACAAAATTGAAAACAGAGTAGCTTTATCTATTAATTATTTTAAATCGAAATTTCTTTTTGTTTATCTTTTCGAAATGCCGAGTTTTTCATTGTCGCGTCGATGACAACTTCTTATTTTCGATTATTTTTTGTTATGTCAAGAAACGTTTTTTAATTACTTGAAATTTTGATTTTTCTCTTATTGTTTCGATTATTTTCTGGTAATTTCAATTGTGGTTTCAACATTTCTAGATTTTGGTCGTTATGACAAAGTAGTTTTCTCGTATTTCAAAACAAATTCTCGTTCGTTCAAGGTAATTTAAACAACGCGAAACATTTATCTGAGAGTGGTTGAGTTTGACTTTGAAGCAAATTTCCAGCACTATAGCAGCGGTCTGTAAATAATCGAGTCGGAACCAGACAATCCAGTGATCAACAGCATGAGCATCGATCTACGCAATTGGGATACAATGACATGTGTCAACCAAGCCAGCTATGCTACTTGTTACAAATACAAGTATACTGGTTCCTGAAATATAGCATTTATTTTGTTCATTACACAACCCGTCCCTCAACGGGACGATTCCAAACGATTTCCAGGAAAAAGGCCCCTTTGCGCCTTGTGTTCTTGCGCGCCAAACAGTTCGGTTTAAAAACACTTATCAGTCATGCTAGAATGAAGATAAAGCTACTCTGTTTTCAATTTTGCGGTCCATTAACGCGTTTCGTTTTTTAAATTTAATCGTTGATTTAAGACCGTTAAATGTGTAATTTCAAACCTCACGCTAACGCGTTCGGTTTTTAAATTACATTTAGCGGTCTTAAATCAACGATAAAGGACCGCAAAATTGAAAACAGAGTAGCTTTATCTATTAATTATTTTAAATCGAAATTTCTTTTTTTTGTTTATCTTTTCGAAATGCCGAGTTTTTCCTTGTCGCGTCGATGACAACTTCTTATTTTCGATTATTTTTTGTTATGTCAAGAAACGTTTTTTAATTACTTGAAATTTTGATTTTTCTCTTATTGTTTCGATTATTTTCTGGTAATTTCAATTGTGGTTTCAACATTTCTAGATTTTGGTCGTTATGACAAGTAGTTTTCTCGTATTTCAAAACAAATTCTCGTTCGTTCAAGGTAATTTAAACAACGCGAAACATTTATCTGAGAGTGGTTGAGTTTGACTTTGAAGCAAATTTCCAGCACTATAGCAGCGGTCTGTAAATAATCGAGTCTGAACCAGACAATCCAGTGATCAACAGCATGAGCATCGATCTACGCAATTGGGATACAATGACATGTGTCAACCAAGCCAGCGAGTCTGACCACCCGATCCCGTTAGCCGCACAATACGACAAGGATGACTTGCTTGAAAATCAATTCTAACCCCGATCTTCACGGGTGAGCATCTCATGTATGTGGGTATGCATACATACTTACCGTCTAGGGAATCTTATTTACAGCTATCAGCGATTTGAACATCCACCGATAGTCCATATTTATAAAACGACCAAAAATCAGATAGGATATGCAGGGATTCCTGCCTTTAGAGTGAGTGAGTGGTTAAAGCGTTCGTTCGTCACGCCGAAAGCCGTGTTCGATTCCCCACATGGGTACGATGTATGAAGCCCATTTCTGATGTCCCTCGCCTTGATGTTGCTGGAATATGGCTAAAAGCGGTGTAAAACGATACTCTTTCACTCACTTTACTGTACTAACTGGTAAGCAAAATTCAAGAATCAAATAGTATCAATGACAGATTCAAATATGACACTCTGATGTTCTCCAGCATAGTAACGAGGTTATCTAAATACTGAAAGTCGGATGAAGGTGTCTGCAACTTTAGGATCCGGAATAGACGATGTCAGAGTCAAATAATCGAGTGGTGGCGGAAGACTCTTCCCGATGGTCCCCAGCTCATCAGGAATACGGTTGATACCAGTGCATGTTTTCCAGGCAGCAAATGCTTTGGCTCATAGGACGACTGCGTCAATTTGGCTCCAAGGAGACAAGAAGAGGCAAATGTGGTGCACCAAGACAACCAGAAGGCTGGAGGTGAAACCCTGGCGTCCAGGCAAAAGGTTCTCATGTAAGATGATCGCGCTTATCCAGGAGTGAGTGAGTGAGTGAGTATGATTTTACGCCGCTTTTAGCAATATTCCAGCAATATCACGGCGGGGGACACCAGAAATGGGCTTAACACATTGTACCCATATGGGGAATCGAACCCGGGTCTTCGGCGTGACGAGCCAACGCTTTAACCACTAGGCTACCCCACCGCCCCGCTTATCCAGGAACCAGAGCACGCAATAAGATAATACTTGGAAGTAATCTTCTGCACTTGTGGCAACCCAAAGTTTCCAGCTTCAGCAATGTTGCCCGCTAGTTTAACAACGCACTGAGCAATATTCCAGCTATAGGAAAACAATGTTTAAATAAGTGAATCTGGACCAGGCAATTGAGTTTGTCATTACGTGCCTCTGTGGAATTTGGAATACGATGGCATGTATGAATCTCAATCACGTCAACGAGCCCGACCACCTGATCACGAATCACCCTTTTAAATGGGTTATGGGTTATGGGCATGGGTTACAGAATACTCAGTCTAGTCCGGATCTTCACTAGATGTATTGGAAGTGTATTGTTTATGAAATCTGTCGAAATGTGGTTTAGCAAAATCGAATTATTTAGCAGTAGTAGTACTCAAACGTGAGCACACACTTCAAGCAACACATCTCACTACCCTTCCCCTAAACTTGGTTGTTCCATAACGTTTGGTAAAAGAATGCAGGTGCAACGAACGTGACTGTTTCGCTGGGACTTGATGAAGAAATAACAAACACTGCCAGTGACTTGAGTGGTTTACTTCGACAATGTCCCTATTGATCAGTATTGACCACAATGAAATAATGATGACAGGACATCATTGACAAGAACAACATATCATTATGCACCAATCAGACATGCGATGACCAACAATGTAACCAACCAATCAGGCTGCAGAAGATTGTCACATGACAAAAACCAACAGCGAACCAGATTGCCCGAAAAGTTGACTGTTCTAAAGTCTGGTTGGGGCTGATGCATTTCCCATTCTACACATACGTCAGTTAAACTGTTTTCCGCAAATTTACATATACACAATTTGATGCACTAATGTCATTAGCCACTTCAACTATAAATGCAGTGTTTACAATACCTTCCATAACTTGATAACTGAGTACCACATTGCACTTGTAAAAACCGGAACCATAAAATATTCAAGGAAGGGAATTTGACCTTTGCTCAGACCTCTATATTTATCTGTGCTTCAGATTATGTAATTCTTTTCCTCGGATGAGGGGCGAACATTTTTATTACAACGCAGTCGAGTCCGTACATCGCTTATGTCTACACAGCAGTTATGCGTGTGCGCAAAAACAAAACGAAGAAAAAACCCAGCCCTATGTTTCTGGTCTCTTAGTTTGTTCTAAAGTGACGTGACGACAGATAATTTGACAAGCCTTTGTGTGAAACAAACGGGGAATATCTCCAGCATGAAATGTCCTTCTTGTTTTTGGTGATTCATTTAAGTTTGATTAAGCGATGGCTAGCCCCTACATGGTTTTATGTTCAGAGAACTTGCGAAGACACATGAGGCATCACGGCAGTTCGCACATTCAACGTTGTGAAACCAGTTTCGAGTTACCTTCCCTTTGTTCAGCATACAGAAAATATGAAAGGACAAGGGAGGTGTGAAACGTGACAGGAACCAGAAACATAGTACTTGTTGGCTGGACCCTTTAAACCAAAATCTCTTTCGCATTTAGAATAATGTGGCTGGCTAATTATTTGATCTCATCTTTATTTCAACAATACCCACCAGCTCATCCTCTTTGCTCGCCCGCAACAGCCACAGACACACTGACTTGTCACCTCACCATGCTAACACTTAACAACTACAGTCGATACTAATACCTAACAGCTAGCGGCATACTGCAGAGGAAATGAACATTGGTTATATCTGCAATGTGATGTGGCCTGTAAACAGTTCAGCGTGAGGAAATTGATGACATCAGCATCAAGCTACATCCCATCATCCGTATCCTGCACTGTCACCGCCTAATCACCCATAAAAATAAAATCCCATGCTATTTGAAAGGCCGTTCGAGGGATTCCATTCCCGTGTTTTCATCAAGGAAAGAATACCATGGCATTTGGATGGCTAACCAAGGAATTCTTTTCGTTGGTTTTTCATCCAGAGAAAGAATGGGCCACTCTCACTTCGGTCTAACAGTTTCATTGGCTGGCTTGTATTGCATTACTGTTTTGAAACCTGATCTATATAGCCATCTACATGTTTATGGTGTGAAAATCTGAGAAGGTATTATTGCGGCATATCTATTTATGAAAATAGGCTCCTGTATGTCTTTATGGTGTTAAACAAGTAAATAATAATGCTTACAATTCGCCCATTATGTTCACTTCTGTTTAGTTTTATAACCCAATAAACGTAAATTTTTAGTTGGCTGGAGCATATGGTCAATGACCTTCTGCACTAGACCTTACATTTAAGTCAATATATCTATAGTCTCATGTATGCAACCCATTCTGGTCGACTGCTGGTTGGAACCATATCTACAGCCTGGTTGTCTTGGCGATCGTGTTTGTGAAAAACGAGGATCAAATGAGAGCATTTGAAAAAGGTTAAGTGAAAACGCAGGCATATCTCCTGATAATGAACAACAGCAAATCACCATGGTAACACACAGATAATAGGACATGATGTTATTTGATTCTGAAAATGTCTGACAAAATATGTTTCATGTATAATATGTTCAATGTGACAATTTCTTCAAGGAACACAAGAAAACCATTTGAGGACAAACATACTTCTCTCAGACACATCTTGAAGAATTGTCAACAACATGAAAGAAAGACCATTGGACCTTGAACAGATAAGTCAACTAAAAACACATCCTTCTAGCGATAAGCCTTCTATAGATATGCTAAATAAGCAGTACCCAGCAGAGCCACTTCAAAGAACAGGATCTTGTATTGGTTAGCCACCTGACCAAACAGAATCTTGTTCAAGTGGTCCACCTGAAAAACAGGATCTTGCACAAGTGGTCCACCTGAACAAACAGGATCTTGTTCAGATTAGCCACCTGAACAAACATGACCTTGCACAGGTAAGCCACCTGGACAAACAGGACACTGCACAGTTAGGCCACTTGAACAAATAGGACCTTGTTCAGATTAGCCACCTGAGCAAACAGGACCTTGTTCAGATTAGCCACCTGAACAAACAGGACCTTGTTCAGATTAGCCACCTGAACAAACAGGATCTTACACAAGTGGTCCACCTGAACAAACAGACCTTGCACAGGTAAGCCACCTGGACAAACATGACACTGCACAGTTAGGCCACCTGAACAAATAGGACCCTGTGCAGATTAGCCACCTGAACAAACAATACCTTGTACAGGTGCTCCACCTGAACAAACTAGATCTTGCACATATAAGCCATTAATAAGAACTAGCCTCTATACAGATAAGCCACCTTACCGAGCAGAAGAATACAATTGTGCAAAGAAGCCACTCAAAGGACACTGAAAGGTCCGTTTACATTTGGACAGAACCATGCGGAATTGAACAACTCAAAATGGTGTACTGTATCTTTTGAGTCTTTAAATAGAACTGGACAAATGTTTTCAAATCATCCAGACGACACAATAAAGTAAACGAATAGTTGTAGCAGAAACTATGTGAGACATATTTCTTGATAATAATATTGTGTTACCTGTGAACACAACCAAGAGACACCAGAGTACAGTCTTGAAGAATTCTGAGACAGTCTTGACCACACAGACATTAATCATTGAATACTGTCAGGGGCCTGGAATCATATTTGAAAAAAATAACCCTAGTTTTTTAAATAATAAAACACAATACTTGGCACATTCAATGTCCTAAAAACAAGTTGTGCAAACAATAAAAAAAACTTTCTGTTTCCAATGAAAATTTCATCAAATGCTCTACTGCTTTGTGACTTTAACCACTGACAGAAATTTAGCCAAACACAAGTTCTGTTTCCAACAAAAATCTCAGCCCCATGCTCCATCACACTTCACTTTGAACTGCTGGCCCCTGAAAGGCTATCAAACGATTGTGTCCTTAAGTACTGGCAGCAGTACACATCAGTAAAGACTGACTGACTGAGTTTTAGTTTTACGCCGCTTTTAGCAATATTCCAGCAATATCACGGAGGGGGACACCAGAAATGGGCTTAACACATTGTGCCCATGTGGGGAATCGAACCCGGGTCTTCGGCGTGACGAGCCAACGCTTTAACCACTAGGCTACCCCACCGCCCCCATCAGTAAAGACAGAGACTGAAAACAGGATTGAATACAATTCTGAAATCGTCCTCTGCAAAAGATGATATGTTGAGGCCTTGGAACAATGTCCCCATCCACACAGTTACTATTGATACTCATGTCATAAGTATACAATGTTAAGTAACCAAACAGAAAATTTAAGTAATTTGCACGTGTAACTGTCTAAGATTAGAGAGATCTTTAAACTTTAAACCATAACAAAACCCTGTTTAGATATAGGCTTGCACTCTCTAGCCACACACACTCCCCTTTGTTGGCAAGATTATGTGACAGGCAGGTGCTACCGCTAGATCAGGACATACACTTTCATAAAACTGGATGTTTAATATTTAGAGTACAAACAAATGAGATCTAATTATAAATGAAGTTCAGAAAATCATCTTTCATATTGACTACCAATATTCCATTGAATGATCTCTCTGTGATATGAGTTACTTGTTGACATCTCTGGCTTGGAGGACATCTAAAGACTTCATCCTATGGCCATTATATCCTGACACTGTGCTCCATCCTCTGTTTGAAAGCTGCTGAAGATCCATATACGTCAAGAATTACACATCCACCTTGGCTTGGGTTTGTGGCCTTGGTGGATTGAGGAGATATGTAAGCGCTATCTGTTCCCGGGGAAGACATTGGTCAAATCCAACCAGTTCACTGCTCTTTGCCGACTAGGTGGTCAAGTGATGGTCAAGTGACATGAGCAGATACAACAACTCACCAACCAGGATGATCTCTAGTCGTTAACTACACATGGAAACTTAAATGTACATGTGATTGTATCTATGCCTCTTATTCACCACATATCCTGATATGCAATATATGAAACAGAGTATTTGGGTGTGCTCTAAGACAGAAGGCTCACAATAGAACAATTGTGAAAACAAGTAGGCTTTGCTTTGCCTTACCCTTTGTTCTCACAACCATAATATTTTATTCAAACAAAGTAGTCATTCATTTTCTACTGCATAATATTGCAATCCCTTGCTTATCACTGCCCAACTTTCTGAGAAAGGATCAGACAAATATTTCTACGATCAACTGTTCTTTCAGATGTGACAAATAGCTTGCATGTTTTGGTTTTTTCTTTAAGAAGATACTGACTGTAATGTATGGTACCATGCATGTATGCTGTCTTTCCAACCACTTCATTTCATTTTGGCATGCTGATATTATAATAAATGATAAATAAATGGACCACAAACTTGATGCTCTCATCTGACCTAATTCTATATAACATCTTCTTACTGTATGTACTTTTAAAGATATTTGCATTTATCCTATGTCCTGATTTGCTTGCCAATTTGAAACTTAAAACAAGATACTTATGGATACCAAGATGGTACAAGAATGATCCCACCATGGCTTTGCACTGATATTAAAACAACACTGAAATGTGAAATGCCACTGATTTCAACATGAAATAACACTGATATTACCATGGTATAACAATCATAAACACATGGTATAACAATGATATAAACATGATGCATCACAATCAATAGTAATGCCACTGGTTTCATCATTTTACATTGATATCATCATGCCTTATAACAGTGATATCACCAAGTATAAACAGAGATATCAATAGGTCTTAACAATGATATCACAATCTCTTATCATTGATATCACAATGTCTTCAGTGATATCACCATGTCTCAACAGTGATATATCCTAACACTGATATCTCAATGTCTTCAGTGATATCATGTCTTCATCATGATGCCATCACTTCTTAACACTGATATCAGACATCAAACAGTAAACACTGATATCACCATGTTATAACAGTGATATCACAGTGTCATACATTGATATCACAATATCTTAACAGTGATATCACCATGTTGTAACAGTGATATCACCATGTCGTAACAGTGATATCACAATGTCTCACATGGATATCATGTCTTAACACTGACATCATCATATCATAACAGTGATATCAGCATGTCCTAACAGTGATATCACCATGTCCTAACAGTGATATCACCAGAACAGTGATATCAAGATGTCATAAACTGATATCACAATGCCATGACAGTACTATCACCATGTTGTAATGGTGATATCACCATGTCAAAACAGTGATATCACAGTGTCTTAACACTGATAACACTGGTACATCCTCTGATTTTCCATGGTCAATAAAGTTACCCAATGGACAATACAACCACTGATATCACCACTTCAACAAAAACCCAGATAAAACATAGCATGAAATGGACTCTCATGTGGTATAACACGAACTTCACAACGCAGCAAACAAAAGCATAATGGTAAACACTATAACAAATAACAACAAGAGTTCCACAGACATACAAATGGCAGTAACAGTTTCCATGGTGACAGTAATATTAAAACGATGACAAAGGTTCATAGCAGCCATGGTGCTTGCTAGTGCCTCCACTGATAACCCCCTTATAATTCTGAACAGACTCATTCAGAATTCTTTACAGAAATGTTAACAAAAATAATACACGTCTATCTATTTGAATAAGTATTTTGATTATGGTCACCTGGTGCTCTGTCATAATATTGCCATTTACTTGCTGAGCAAATGTTTGTATGACGTTCACTCCCAACAGATATTAATAACCTAACTGAGAAGTAATGGGTATTGAACACTAATGCATTATCTGACTCCCATAGTATGAACAGGGCTCGAAAATTCCACTCGTCCACTCGTATTGACAAGCAAAATTTGTTTCGGGTAAGTGAAAAAACATAATTTGCTCGTCCTAGAGGACGAGTACGTTTTCTGAACCTAAAGTAACATTTTTCTTTTTCCTTGAAGTTCAGCTATCTTAAATGTTGAATAAATTCAATTTTGTAAAGATTTTGTACAGAAGACAAAGTAAGTAATGTTTATTGTAGTTTTATTCCAAGCAAACATTATGAAATTAAATAATTTAAATTTATATTCATTGTGATGCATGATCTATAGGGAAAGTACAATTCTAGAAGGACAAGTGGAAAGTTCATATTACTTTATAGGATTTTTGAAATTTTCGAGCCCTGATGAAGTTTAGACATTGCTGGTTGTTATCACATGGCTGACATATCAAAATATCATCACTGTGAAAAGAGTGAGTGAGTTAGTAGTTCGCTGCTTTTAGAAATATTCCAACAATATCACAGCGGTTGACACCAGAAACGGGCTTACTGTGAAAAGAAAGGATACAAGATGCTTTCTTCCCATTCAGCCTGTTAACAACTATCAACAGTTAAAAGAATTTCGTTTATAATCTAAAATACACATGAAGTAACTAAAGATTTTACATTAAGTGTGTTGGAATTAATGATGCTTGGAGAAATATTATATTTCAAAAAGAACTATCCAATCCATAGGGTATTTTTACCTTAATTCCAACACAATGCTTTTATGAATTCAATTTTTTCTCAAAGAAACAGTGATTCTGATTTAATGTTACAGTTTTGTTTTTATCATTCATAACTTTTTATCAGCTAAACAAACCAAGTAATAACAAGAAGATATGTCTTGGTACTATATCCTCACCAGATACTGAATTCCTGAAAGCTACATTGAAATCTTTTTAACAAGTGTGTATTTTTTAGAAATAAAATAAGCATATATTTACATTTGTTAAAAACTAAAATTGAACATTTTTATATTTGTTCATATAAAGGATTATTGTCTTTGTTGAAAGTGTGTCAATTTGTGGATTGTAACAGGGTTGTACATAGCTCTTCGAAACTGGGAGTCCTAGTGACTCAGGGCATATGTATTCTGAGAGTCCATTTCCAAAATTGGGAGTCCATGAATTTGCATGCAATAATTGATCATGGATGCTTCCCATTTGATAATGATTAGGTTATAATATGTGTTACTTTCTATGTCATTAGAAAAATGATTGCAAACAGAATGTTTATATTTTAATTACGGGATAACATTACAAACTCAGAAAGTTCTTCCCAGAAAAAAATTATTGCGTCCACAAGGACGCACAGGATTTTAGTTTGGGGGTACTTCATCAAATTTCTGAGGCCAATACGCAGGAATCACGCGTCCCGTAAAACCCTGGTGTAGAAGTTGACACGTGTCATATGCAACTAGCCTGCAATTTCAGACTCGACAATGCAAACATTTTAGGTGTTTGAAATAAACGAACATGACTTCTTGATTATGTTACATCTCTAGTGATGCAGTGTCCATGTCTCACTGGTGTGTAAATAGAAGTTTTAGAAAGAATCACTGTAGATTTCAGGATTTCAAGCCCCCTCAATAGTCTATATTCTATAGAAGTTTGAAACTGGAAGAATTAGCCTTGTCTTGAAATATCACAGATATCTTTCATTTCAAAATATAGTTGATCTCTTAAAATATATCATAACTGTACAGGCATTTATGAGAGGAGATTGAACATTCACTATTCTTTTCCATTTTGATGAACAGGGAACTGAGATATGTATCAACACCATGTCAGAACTATAAAAGGGTTTGATAAAAGTTCATCTTAATTGATTAAAACTCAACTAAAATCTCCTTTCGGTAAAACTTACAGGAATAACTCAAAAAATGTTTAACAGATAACATTTACTGACTGATTTTAAGCAGCACGTAAGACAGTGTTGTATCCAATGGCTGACTGACAATGAATGTACATATTTTTGTCCATATTATGAATATGTTGCTGTGGTCTACTTTCTACATGGGCAATGGCGACAGATCTGCAATCAAAAATAAAATTGATAAACTGTACATAAAACTCTCTCCATACACTCCCCACATAAATATTCTCGAAACACATTCAGCTAAAATATCGCTATGGATCTCTCGCCCCATCCCTCTGGTCCCAGGAATCGGATTTCCACGACAGGCAACGTGCTACTTCCGACAGTTCGCGAACAATGGCAGTTAGATACCTTACACAGCGTCCACAAGTCACATGACTTCCATCAACCAATGAACAACTCACATATCCTGTACATCAGTGGCCAACAGCCAATCACAGTCAACCTCAGTGTTCATCAATGTCTCATTCAATTGGTTCCATTAATTTTTTCTTTTCTTTTTGTTTAAAACTCCCAGCTCTATTTTTGGTTGGCAGATTGTTTGCAGAGGCATGGCGTATCCTTCCGCCGTTTGTGCCATTTTTGTCCACAATGTCCTTATCCGTCGGAGAGTGCATGCTCCCAACACTGAGACTCGACATGGAACTCGACAGATTCAGATTGGAGGAGATTCCCAGAGAGCTTGGGTAAGGATTAAGAATGTCAAGGTCATCACCAGGGAGACAGGATTCAACCATCATTGCCTTTTCTAAACAATTCACAAATAATTCCGCTGTGTCACTGCTGCCCGATGACTGAAACAGATGATTGGATATCATTAATTGGACATTTTTACTAGAAAAGCAGCAATTAAACGTAAATTAAAAATCATAGATGTAGTTTGTGATGTTTTCTGCCTTAGTAAAACCCATGAGCATAGTGTTGAGAAATCAGAAATAAATGCCGAAGATACAACCCATACAGTGAACTTTAGTGCCTGAGATACACATTCCACCAAATATTCTTTGAGATTTCAACCCAATCATTTTCTGATGCACATGACCGAAAGCACATTTGAGCACTATTCTGGAAAGTGTGCTAATTTGAACAGTGCACCAGTTATATCGAGTTGTTCCAGCTTGAAGAAGGAAAGTCTGAAGTGAGGCTGATTGAGTTTTGGCTTTAAGCCGCTTTTAGCAATATTCCAGCAACATGACGGGGACACCAGAAATGGGCTTCACACATTGTACCCATGTGGGGATTCAACCCGGTCCTCGGCGTGGACGAGCCAACGCTTTAACCACTAGGCTACTCCAATCGCCCGTGCCTTAAGTTAGGCATGTCTCTGATCTTTACCATGTTGGTGCCGACAAACCCTGAATCTGGAACTAAAACACACAGGTTTCTGGTGGTACAATTCGGCATTGCAAATGCGGCGCTTTACACAACTGAGTCCGTGACCCCCACAACATCATAACAGCTCACCTTTGTGAAAGTACCAGCAAACCTCCATAAACCTCCAAATCCAATACCTGGAACAGTGCATAAGCTGAATTAGTCAACAAGGATTATTATTATTATTATTATTATTATTATTATTATTATACAATATTTACATAGCGCACATATCCAGGCAACTAGTGCTTGCTCAAGGCGCAATATTTTCCCACTAGATCATTGGATGTCAATCTCAATGGCACATCGTATTATCAATCTCAACTCCCTGGGGAGTATACAACTCTTGCAGCCACTAGGCGCACCGAGTTATTGTGGCTTTCTCATCCTAACAAGGTACCCATTCACAGCTGGGTGGACTGGGACACATAGTCACAGTATTTTGTCCAAGTTTACTGCACGTTGCTGTACCCGCAACTAGGTGTTTGCACATATTCATGTGGCCACCATCTGGTCATATACCAACGGATTTGTGGGTTCTTTTAAGTGCACAGGGTTGTGTACTGTATACTAGGGGTTGTGACAACACGGAAAGAGTCTGCACACAAAGTTGACTCCAAGGTTTTTACACCCGGTCACAGGTGGGCTCGATCTTGGCACCTCAACCTTGCTGGATCACTAGCCTGGCGCCTTGGCCGGCTCGCCCACCGCGCCCCTGGTGATGACAGAAACAGATGATGGTCCATTTGGGAGGTAGTGGGAAAGGGCTTTCTGGGGGAAAATGATGGTGACGAGATAGAGGTTATGCTACATTTGGACGAGGTAAAAGCTGCAACTATTTTCAAAAGGGTGTGTGGGTTGTGCTCCATGGAAAGTAGTGGTCCGATGGGTGCTGGCTGTTTGGGGGAAAGAGAGATGTGTTTGTAGGGTGTTTGTATGGGTGTTGCACAGCTCTTTGGAAAGAGGGAGGATAAGGTAATACAGCTTTTAGGAAAATTGTTGGTGAACAACATTTTCGGCAGATTATGTGGACTGTGATGAAACAAAAATGGTAATTGAAATAATTCAATCAACCATTTGTGTCTTCTAGCAAAAACAACCTAAAACTATTTTTTGTTTATTTGCATAGCTTTTAAAAATTCCAACATAATCAGTTTACTTCCAGGAGATAAACAGCTACATGAGTATTGTTGCAACACTGAACTACAAAGTGAGTGAGTGAGTTTAGTTTTGCCGCTTTTAGCAATATTCCAGCAATATCACGGCGGGGGACACCAGAAATGGACTTAACACATTGTGCCCATGTGGGGAATCGAACCCGGGTTTTCGCGTGACGACTGAACGCCTTAACCACTAGGCTACCCCACCGCCCCCTGAACTACAAAGAGCAGCCTTCAATGATTATCCAACCATAAGTTCTAATTCCTACACTCATTACTCTACAACATAGATACCTACATTCCCGCGGACACTTACTCTGGAGGTAGGACAGCTGCTGTTGGGAGGCGTCCTCACACGCAATCATGTTCTGGATAATGCTCTGCACTGCGTTGAGGATGGCCTGGTCGTGGCACAGCGACAGAACATTGTTTATCTTTGCGTCAAGCAGACTGTGACTGTTAGAAAGGGAAGACAGTGATTATTTTTTACTGTCAGAACCGAGTTCTATCGAACATTACAAATAAGTGCCTTTGGCAGACAAACTGAAAAGAATTAATTTTTTTATGTTTTTTATAGGATATTTATATAGTGCACCTATCCACGCAACTAGTGCATGCTCAAGGTGCTGGTAGTTTTCCCTCAATCATTGGATGTCAACTCAACAGCTCATTGTATTATCAATCTCAACTCCCTGGGGAGTATACAACTCTTGCAGCCACTAGGCGCACCGAGTTATTGTGGCTTTCACATCCTAACGAGGTACCCACTCACAGCTGGGTGGACTGGGACACATAGTCACAGTACTTTGTCAAAGTTCACTGCACGTTGCTGTACCTGCAACTAGGTGTTTGCACGTATTCATGTGGCCACCATCTGGTCATACACCAATGGATTCGTGGGTTCTTTTAAGTGCACAGGGTTGTGTACTGTACACTAGGGAATGTGACGACTTATGAGTGAGTGAGTGAGTTTAGTTTTACACCGCAATTCAGCAATATTCCAGCTATATGGCGGCAGTCTGTAAACAATCTGGACCAGACAATACAGTAATCAACAGCATGAGCATCGATCTGCGCAATTGGGAGCCGATGACACGTGTCAACCAAGTCAACAAGCCTGACCACCCGATCCCGTTAGTCGCATCTTACGACAAGCATGGGTTACTGAAGGCTCATTCTAACCCGGACCTTCACGGGTTGTGACGACTAATGGTTTTCTTTGTGGTTTGTCTTTGATGCTACGAGTTGTACTCAGCAATGTATGTATGATGGTCCTTGAGGCAGCCAAGTGATTGACGTCATGAGCACCAGTCGATATGATGACAAGCATCAGCCAAGTTAGCCTGACCTCTCAATTTCATTAGTCGCTTCTAACAAGGATGAATTCTGTGGACTTCGTTGATACTGTTTTACACCCCATGTCTCACTTAAGAATATTTCGCTCATATGGCGACCTGCATGCGTGTGTATGTGTGGCTGCTTGTACTAGCCAAGACTTAAGCTGGTTTTATAGTGCTAGCTCACTGAGATACCATGCCGGAGTGAAGCATGAATACCCCACTCAGACACATTATACTGACTCCGAGCCGACCAGTCCCTGTTGTACCCATTAATGTCGAGCGCCAGGCAGGGACCAACGAGTACCATATTTTAACGTTTCTTGCTATGACGTGGCTGGTATCGAACTTGCGACCTTCCACTCTCTGGGCTCTCCACTACACCACGCAGACGGTGTAACAAGGACAAACCAATAAAAACAAAAAATAATTCTGAATTGTCGCTTATGTAAATTTGCCAACAAATGTGAAAATATGCATGAATTGGAAAAGGTAATAAACTGGAATTGGCCAGACATATTCTGATAGATGTTCAACAGTATTTCAAAGAGTACTGTTTTGAACAGTAGCTTTAACTTACATTACAGGAAAGACTTTGGGGAATACGACTGAGGCTTCAGCTAGATACTCATACAATATTCTTGTCTCGTTCTCGTCTGTAGTGTTCCGAACAAGTGTTGCCTGAAATATAAAGGATACATGGAGTAAGCCCCTTTTCATACTACACACCTCTTGATAGTGATAATCAGATATGAAATATAGTATAAATACACCTGACATATTCTGACAATCAGTTTTGAGAAATCAGTATTTACCTAGCACACACAGGACAAATATAATATTGTGGAAATGCCAAAATGCAGGATTTATGACCATGATGTAATAAAGGCAATGAGTTCAAAACAATTATGGGCTTCACACAACGAACCCAAGAGAAGAATCGAACCCAGGTCTTTACCCACTAGGCCACCCCTGACAGACTTACCAAGACTGTGAGGACTAGAGCCTGTGTGGGGTAGTCCATGAGAATGTCGGGATCTAGAAGAACATTGTTTTCATTGGACACGGAGCTCCGCCCACTGCGAGGCTGCTGGATGGCTGATTTGGAGGACTCCAGCTTGTTGCTGCCAGGCGTCGGCATGGAACTGCTGCGGAACTTCGTCAGCGGCGGCCGTGAATTTTGATCAAGGTCAAGGCTGACGCTCTTGCCCTGCAACAGGTGTTTGAACTATGTGGAGATGAAAATGTCTTTTATTTCACTGGTAGTGGAAAATGAGATTTTTCGGCTGCAGTAAAGTTATCTTAAAGTTTTATCCATGTTATATTTATTACTTTGTTTGCAAATATGTTGTTAAACTCCACAATCAGAAATATTCCAGCTAAATAGCTGTGTTATGTAAATGACCAAGTGTGGATGTGACAATCATGTGATTGACATCCTGATGATCAATCTACACAACTGGGATATGATGACATGCATTAATCAAGCCTGACCACTCAATTCAGTTAATCACTTCTTATAACAAGCATTGTCACTAAGGTGACATAATCCCCAGCTGCAAATTATCAAATCAAACTTAAAAGTAATAAAAGTTAAGATGAAGTTAATTGTCAACAAAAACATGACCAGTCAACCGCTCTTGATATCTTGCTCTTTAGTTGTTCAAACACACAAATATTTTCAAGACTGACTTTGACCTTGAATGTCATAGTGAATGAAATATGCAAAAAATGGTACTAAAGAAATTGCTTTATGAAAAACATTCAAGGGAAGTCTTGAAAGTCTATGAAGAAAATCCAGTGAATTCAGGTTAACATGCTGAAATCTTCAAAGTATCGCAGTGACCTTGAAATCATGTGAAGGTCACCAAAATTGACTGGGCCCTGCACCTTCATTAGATGAAGCTTGGTGTCAAATTAAAAAAAAATCCAGTGAATTGTTTTGCGATATCTTGCTGACCATCTTAACATGCGATTTAACATGCTGAAATCTTCAAAGTGTCTTTGTGACCTTGAAAATGAAGTGAAGGTCACCAAAATCGACTGGGCCTTGCACTTTCCCTAAGTGATGCTTGGTGTTGAAAATCCAGTCAACGGTTCTTAAGATAGCTTAACATGCAGGTTAACATGCTGAAATCTTCAGAGACGCCATGACATAGAAAAATATTTGGAGGTCACTAAAATCGACTGGGCCCTGCGCCTTCCCTAGATAAAGCTTGGTGCTGAATATGAAGAAATTCTAGAGAACGGTCCTTGAGATATCTCGCTGACAAGAGTAAAACGTTAAAGTTCCCTTGTGACCCTGAAATGAAGGTCAAGGTCACCAAACCTGACTGGGACCTTTCCTATACTGTGATGAACTTAGGAACCAAATATGAAAAGAATCTAGTCAACGGTTCTTAAGATATTCCAATTCGTACACACGGATTGATGGACGGAGCCTAATACTATATCCCCCGCTTCGTGCTAAAAGCGCGGGGGATAACAAGCATAGTTTCCTGAAGACTTATTTTAACCACAAACTTTACAGATCTGTTTAATACTTGAATGAGACCATGACACAGATGTAATTCAATCACCTGTCATATAACTTAATTGAGTCAACAAATACATATAACATAATGATGATTATTGTCTAATAACAATAAGCCAGTGATCTGACACTAAAATACCTTTGTATTAAACTGTATGTATTGTTTCGACTTTGTCATACATGATTTGTTACATTTGAAAATTTAGCACTATCCTATGTCACAAACTATATTAAATTTCAATTATTTATTTGTGATATCTTTAAACGAGAGTGATTGTTTCATATCAGTAATCACACTGTGTGATATCAACACTTCTTTCCTCAGACAAAATGTTCCAGGGCCTAGATTTTCAAAGCTCTCTTAGTGCTAAGATAGTCGTAAGTTAATGTTAAGGTATGGCACTTATGACTATCTTAGCGCTAAGAGAGCTTCGAAAATCTAGGCCCAGGTCTACAAAAATATATTTGAATCACAATTTTCAAATACAATGGCTTCTACTTCTAAACATTGTATTAATGGTCCAGCATCAACTAGGCATACTATCTATTCTGTTACTGAAGGTCATGCGAACTAGTGGTCTAGTTCTAGTCAGTCTATCTGTCTAGCCTTAGATTCCATCATGCTATAAAATATCTAGCATCAAGCAGCCTATTTGTCTAGCCTCAGATTCTGGTCATACTATCTGTCTAGTCTAGCATCAATCAGCATATCTATCTAACCATTAGATTCCGTCATGCTCTACATGGTCTAGCATCAAGCAGCCTGTCTAGCCTCAGATTCTGGTCATTCTATCTGTCTAGTCTAGCATCAATCAGCATATCTATCTAACCATTAGATTCCATCATGCTCTACGTGGTCTAGCATCAATCAGCCTTACTGTCTTGCCTTTCTCAAAGTCTAGCATCAACCAGCCTAACTGCCTAGCCTTTAGATTCAGTCCATGCTATCTCTCTCGCATAACACTGTCTATACCTAAGCCAAATGTAGAGATAGCATCAAAATCAGGTAATATGATACACTTGGTCTTATCACCCCTACTGCATATATTGACCATGTTGAACACCAGTGCTTATAATAATAATAATGCATTTGTTTAAGCGCCTAATGTCCAACCAGTGCTGCTCAGTGGCGCTGTGCAGAGAAAGTGGAGAAACTAGTAGGTAGCTAGAAAAAGATGAGTTTTTAGTTGGCTCCTAAATGCTTCCAGGGAAGATACTGATCTCAGTTCAACTGGCAGAGAGTTCCACAAAGCTGGTGCTGCAGCACTGAAAGCTCTGTCTGCCATGGATATTTTTGTAGCTGTTTTTTTCAGGCTGTCTCTTTTCTCAGACCTCAAGACACGAGTTGGACGATAGTTTGTGATGATGTCTTTGAGGTAAGCTGGTGAATTGATGTCATAGAGGTTGAGTAGGTGATGCAAATTATTTTGTACTGTATTCTCCTCTTTACTGGGAGCCAGTGCAACGGCCTCAGCACAGGGGTGATGTGTTCCTGACATTTTGTCACAATCCATTAGACCATGTGGTAAACACTCATACAGTTGGTCTATGAACATGTGGACTCAACAGTGGGGTAAACCTTGTTTGTGTTTAGCAACCTGATGCATTTTGTGGCTAGTTCTATACCAAGAAGAATTCTAATTTCTGGAGATTGGGAGGTGTGATACTCATTACTGATAACCCTTTTTCTGCTGCTGAGAGATCCTAAAAGATGGGGACTTTTCTAGCATTTGGCCTAGGACTATCTAGCCTTTCTTCATGGTCGAGCATCAATCAACAACACAAACCCTTAGATTCAGACATGCTCTGTCAATATGATCTAGATTACACGCTAACCTACTTTTCCAGGCTGATACAGCATGTATTAGATTCCAGCTCCAACTACTCTACCCTTTCAGCCAACTGATAGACAATGCTTTCTACCTATGATGTCTACACGACTAGTTTAGTCTAGCAAGCAGTAAGCAAGCCTCTGCAACACAGCGCCACCTACCTGACTCTGCGTCAGCTGGACGTTCTTGCCCATCCGTGCTGCTGTCATGGCGTTCTGGTCCAGGAGGTCACAGCTCTTTTGTCGCCGTGGGAGAGGGGTGGAGGCATTTGTAGGCGGGGCATTCTGAGGGGGTGTGACTACAGTGGTGGTGGGTGGGGGAGCAGAGGGCGACACCCCCTGGGATGATGACAACTCAGTATTGAGACTCTCTGTTGAAGGGGACTCTGATATCATGTAGTTTGCTGTCCGATGTTTTAGATGGCACCGACTCCGGACCTCTTCTGACACTGATACTAAGGCTGAAGCAAGACACCAAAGGTTTTTCAGTTTTCTGAACCGAATCAAGAAACGTTTAAAGATGCTACATGTAGGAGGAGGCAAATACAAGACATCTCTACTTTAACTGCCATTGTCCTCTGCTTTGTTTTGCTTACTTCAGAAGATTTCATCAAAGTCTGCATTACAAGGACAAGGGAAGTAACTCTACATTTATCAAAGAAGTTTTGCTATGATTCAATGACTAAAATGAAATGAAAACTTCATTAAATATGAAGTCAAACTGAGCATCATATGTTTAAAGTGAGTGAGTGAGTTTAGTTTTGCCCCACACTCAGCAATATTCCAGCTACTTGACGGCAGTCTGTAAATAATCAAGTCTGGACCCGACAATCCAGTGATTAACAGCATGAGCATCGATCTACGCAATTGGGATACAATGACATGTGTCAACCAAGTCAACAAGCCTGACCACCTGATCCCGTTAGTCGCCTCTTACGACAAGCATGGGTTACTGAAGATCATTTCTAACCCGGATCTTCACGAGTCTCATAAGTTTAAAAGATGATGTTCAAACAAAAGTCATCTCAAAACAATGACGTCTGTGTTGGCAGAAAAAGAAAGAACATATATTTTAAAGTAAACAACGTCTGATACAGCCATGATATAACACATAAAATAATAATGGCTACAGATCATATCGCTGTATCATTCCAGTCATAGAGCTACTCACCTGCAAGGTAGGCCACAGTCTGTGTGGTCACCTCAAACTTGTCCCTGACACTGGGTTTCACGGTAATACTGAGTAGCTGATGCAAAACACGGATTGTCCGGGACACAGTCGTGGGGGACGGGTGTCGGAATCCTGTCAGAGAATAAATTGCATTACGAGACCAGTCAGTCAAATCTAGACCGAAAATAATCTGAAATCAGACTCACCATTATACAGACAATCGACATCATCAAATGACATGAGTAGTATATAGAATAGCGGTACGAGATCACTTCTGACAAAAGACTCTGTAAAGCTTTATTTTTGAAATAAAGCTTTACAGAGTCTTTTGTCAGAAGTGATCTCGTACCGCTATGCTATATACTACTACATGTTAGAAAATAATAAGACTGGTTCAGAGTGAGTGAGTGAATTGGTTTTAACATTACTTTGAGCAGTTTTCTAGGTAGGAATGTGACAAGTGAAGTAGATCTCACATGTTTACCACTTTGGGAAAATCCACACCATGGTGCTGACGAACTTAGAAACATATTCAGGGCGATTGAGATGTGAGCACATGATTATAAGCTTCTGAACAGCGAATTGCAGCACCTTGGATGATGTGCATCTATGCCCCATTTCACAATCAAAGCATCACCTCACTCAACAATATTCCGGCTACATGGTGGCGGTCTTTAAATAAGTGAGTCTGGACAAGACTATCCAGTGATCAACAGCATGAGCATCGATCTACGCAACTGGGACACGATGACATGTGGCAACCAAGTCAGCGAGCCTGACCACCTGATCCCGTTAGCCGCCTCTTACGACAAGCATGGGTTGTTGAAGACCAATTCTAATCCAGATTCATGGGTTGTTTGCTTATAAAGACTTAGTTCCCTTAATCTACCCCGGATCTTCATGGGTCAACACTGCAAGATAACAGTAAGCAGCTACAAGATATTCCACAATGTCAGATGCAGTCCCCACCTTTGAGTAAATGTCCAACCAGAGCGAAGTTGAAGTTGAACTGGAAGCTGAGGCCCATGTAGTGATCCAGCTGCTTGAAGTGCCACTCCAGGGGTTCGCGGGTCTCCATCATGATCTTCTCCAGAGACTGCAACATGACAGGTGGGAAATTAAACACAGGTGTATCACAGGACACAGGTGTACCACAGGATGCAGGTGTATCATAGGATACAGGTGTACCACAGGACACAGGTGTATCACAGGACAGGTGTACATAGACGCAGGTGACATAGGATGACTGAGTTTGGTTTCACAGGCAGGACAGATGTATTAGACACAGGTGTATACAGGACACAGCAACATCAGGGCATAGGACACCAGGATAATACAGGCAGGAGTATCACACAGGTGTATCACATGTGGGTATTCAACCCAGGACAGGTCTTTGGCGGATTACAGGACACAGGTGTATCATAGGACAGGTGTATTACAGGACACAGGTGTACCACAGGATACAGGTGTATCATAGGATACAGGTGTATTACAGGACACAGGAGTATCACAGGACACAGGTGTATTACAGGACACAGGTGTACCACAGGACGCAGGTGTACCATAGGATACAGGTGTATTACAGGACACAGGAGTATCACAACACAGGACGCAGGGTGTATCACAGGACAGGTGTATCATAGGACACAGGTGTATTACAGGACGCAGGTGTACCACAGGACGCAGGTGTACCATAGGACACAGGTGTACCACAGGACGCGGGTGTATCACAGGACAGGTGTATCATAGGACACAGGAGTATCACAGAACATAGGTGTATCATAGAGAACAGGTGTATCTCAACACAGGTGTATTACAGGACACAGGTGTATCACAGAACACAGGTGTATCACAACACAGGTGTATAACAGGACACAGGTGTATCACAGAACACAGTTGCATCACAGAACACAGGTGTATCACAACACAGGTGTATTATACAGTCAACAGGTGTATCACAGAACACAGGTGTATCACAACACAGGTGTATTATACAGTCAACAGGTGTATCACAGAACACAGGTGTATCACATAAAACAGGTGGATCATAACACAGGTGGATCACTGTTGTTGTGTATAAGAACAGTACACAGGCATATACAGACTCTCCCTTTAACGCAAACATAAAACCAAGCTATTCTGTTATCCCCAGCTGAAAACCTGTCACAGGCGCACCGTTGAACATCAATAAACAATCAAGCTAATCCGTTCTCCTCCCAAACCTACCTTCTTCTCAAACAGCCCCATGTTGTCTAGCGTGTGGAGATTCTGCTCCAACAAAGCAAGTCCTGCCGCATACAGTGACACTTCATCTAGCTGCAGCACTGAGATAGCCACCCAGAACAAGAACTTGTGGATCGGGGACTCCTGAAATGTGACACAAGCATAATAATCTCCTGATATTCTAGGACTGCCTCTGTGCTGTAGTGGTTACGGCCTCCGCCCGGAGAGCGGAAGGTCGCTGGTTCGATCCCCGACCGCGTCATACAAAAGACGTTAAAATATGGTACTTGTTGGTCCCTGCCTGGCGCTTGGCATTAATCGGTACAACAAGGACTGGTCGGCTCGGAGTCAGTATAATGTGTCTGAGTGGGGTATTCATGCTTCACTGCGGCATGGTATCTCAGTGGGCTAGCACTATAAAACCAGCTTAAGTCTAGGCTAGTACACACATACACATACACACGCATGCACGTCGTCATATGAGCGAAATATTCTGAAGCACAACGTTAAACCCAATTTCACCTCCTGCCATTCTAACATCCAGAATCTTTGTGCTCTGACAACTGATATGAAAGTATTACTGCCAACCACCAGCCAGGATATCAAGTACCATCTTGTTTACGCCTTGGTTATGCCTGGTAAGGTGCAGCTTGAGATTGAACCAGAGCACCAGTCTCCAGGCAGACACACTATCCACGAGGCATGAAATCAACACAATCAACTCACCGCCTTGAGCATGGGCTGTAGCCGGGTAAGACACATGACGACAGCCTCGATCAGCGTCAGGTCTGTGTACGACTCCAGGGCCTGCAAACCAAACCACAGATCAGTGAGGATTTTAAACTGAGTCCCATCATAGGCAATTGGGGAAAATAAAAATATATATTCAAAATTGATTTCTTTTAAAAACATTGTTTCTTTTAATACTACATTCAGCAAAGATGCCTCTTTCTCTTCATTAGACTGACTGACTGAGTTTGGTTTTACGCCGCTTTTAGCAATATTCCAGCAACATCATGGCAGGGGACACCAGAAATGGGCTTCACACATTGTACTCATGTGGGGATTCGAACCCGGGTTTTCGGCATGACGAGCCAACGCTTTAACCATTAGGCTACCCTGCCCCCTCTTCATTAGACCATGATACAAAAGTTACAAATACAAAGTCACAACTTTAGTTATAACTTTCTAAAGAGGAATTAGGATATTCTTTAGTGCAAGTACTAAATGTTTTTACTGAGATGCCTCATACTTTGAGCCAAATATTGGCCTCTGAGTAGGACAACACAAACAATTACAAGGTTGCTGTTCACTGATGATGATCCTGTGTACAGCGTGTCAGATCTACAGTAAACACCTTGATGTGAGATGATATCAGTTTACATTACATCTGGTTTATGTCCTTTGACATTTTAATAAGAAATGTCACCAAGTCTAATGCAGTAAACACAACAGTGTATGATACATGACTTAACTCTCACTGCTGTTACATTACAATTACATTTATAAGCAGATACGTGTCTTAATGGGAGACAATGCGTGGCGGACATTTTGACATTTCTGGCAAGATTGATTTTAGTTGTTCAAACACCACTTTGTCTGTCTGACTATGTGACTTCCATCACTGCTTTATTGTACACATGTATGTACAATATATATATAGGCTATGCATATTGAGGCTAACTAATTCTATCTAGCCGTACAGGTTCTGGGTTCAAGCATAGTCTCCCTGAAGTAAATTCAGGATATATTAAAGCATTTTGTAAATATATGATAGCGTTCATGGACAGAGAGACAGAGACACACACACACACAGAGAGAGGGAAAGAAACAGCGACAGAGAAATAAAGCTTTATAAATGAATGAAATATTGAAGCAATTTTGTAAATATAATATAGTGTGGAGAGAGAGCCAGAAACGGAAAGACCGACAGAGAGAGAGAGACCGACAGAGAGAGACATAGAAAGAGGGTGATAAAGCTAAATAAATGACTGAAATATTCAAGCATCTTGTAAGTATGTGAATCAGGGAATTTACAAATACTCTGAATTTACTATTGATGATTCTAAGAAACATTAAGAAAGCATGGCAGAGCATAATCACCAACACTATTTTACAACATGACACTTTTCCAAATTTTGTTCATATTTTGCACTATAAATAAATTTAAAGGCATTGACTATGAACTTCACAGACAGTTTGTAACAACACTTCTTCCATAATATTTACAGTTATATATTTCATAAACAGGCAACAGGCTGTGAACATACACTGTTTTTGAGCACAAAACAACAGCAAAAATGATTACAAGCACAAAGCGACAAACCACTCACTGTGACAAGCCACAAACAACATCAAACTCCAAAACAGCAACACACATGTAGCAATGAAACTACTTTAGATAGCTTTTCAAGTCTTATTGCACAACTCAAAGTGGGACTTGCTCAAATAATTTAGCCGTGAATTATTGTATGACTTAAATTTTACCAAAACACCCCAAAAACCCAAATCTAACGTAAAACTGGTTTACAAAGGCTCTGTAGCTCACAGGATTTTTTTAGCATTCAACACAAGACATGCACAACATAAAAGTATGCCTTAATACTTTTATAGATGGAAAAGCATTGTTTGGTTTCTTTTTTTACACAATACTCAGCAATATCCAAGCTACCAATATCAGCTGAACAACAATTAAATATTATTATTCTTGACCAAAATAGACCGGTAGGGAACAAAGTACACTATGCAGGAGGTTTGTGTTGAGTAATAGACATCTCAGTGCACTTCCAAAACATTTTCTATTTGCTTTCTCTCCATCAAGAACAAGCAGTGGGGTATCCTAATGGTGTTTGCACGTCAAGCCAAAAACCTGGGTTGAGTCAGTGTGTTAAGCCCATTTTTTATGTATCCCACTGTGATATTGCTGGAATATTGTTAAATATTGTATTGTAAAACAATCCTTAATTACTCACTCCGTCAAGAACAGAATGAGGGATGAGTGACGGATCAAGATTAAAAAGTCTCCCAGTCCCACAGTCCAGGAGAGATAAACATTACTGAAAATACTGCACTAAAATAAACGTCATTCTTAAGCAGGGGAATGGAGAGAACAACAGAATAGCAAAGGATTGGGATCAGAGCTATCAGAAACTGCAACAAGGATTACCGGACATGGGAAGCTCCATGTATTTTGAAAATTAAAAGGTTTGAACACCTGCAATAGAAAGAGAAACAAAAGCATGTATTAGACCATGACGATACAGCCACATCGTAACAGTGTACCTCAATGCACGACGGCTGGGTGCGTCGGGGGCCCATTTGGTCCTGAAGGGAGTCAGACTTCTCGCAGAAACTTTGCAGAGTACAGGTGTGGGTGAAGGTCAAGGAATAGGGAGGACGGCCCTGAAGAAGGGAGCAATCAGGGCGGTTTTATCAGGGCAAGGGCCTCCTTCCATGATACATTACAACTACTGTTCATATATGTGGCCATGTTTCATTTGTTTGGGGTTTTGTTCAATGCCAAACTCAGCAATATTACGGCCACATAATGGCAGAGTAACAATACATCAAAACTTGAGTCGGTTAATGTCAAAGGTGGTCAAATGATCGGGAACATTTCAGCAGCCTGATCATTGTCTGTAAATTTCAAGTAAGCAATCCAGTGGTTGACATAAAGAGCAACAATCCACATCAACAGGGTATGATGAAATGCTATCATTTTTTTACATCAAATATTCCAGTTGTATGATGGCGGCCTGTAAACAATCAATGATGACCCAGACAGTCCAGTGATTGATGTTGTGAGCACCAATTGCCTTTTATGGCCAGCAGGGCAGCTTTGGTAAATCAGAATCCCCACAATGGCATGTACATTGGGTTTGGATGACAGGATGATGCTGGACTTACCTTCATCATGATCTTAAGGAGTTGTTTCACTTCAGAGTCAGTCACAGACTTACTGATACACCCAAACACTATGATGGCCCTTGGCTGCAAGGCTGGGTTATACTGGAATGCAAATCTGAAAGACAGAAGCCATCAGAATTTTGAAGTGGTATCCATAGAAACCGACCGACCATCATTAAATCAACATCATAAATGCCAAAGGTGTAATCATATTTGAATGAATGTCACAATAATCATCATCATTATAGACTTTGTGGCAAATTATTTTTGTGGAATTACTCATCTCAGGTTGGTCTGATAAGGTGGTCCCCATTCAAATACATTCATGATCAACAGCCATCATGGCCACCCCATTCCTTTTGGGCTACTGGGGATCAGTACTGTGCCAGGGTACCACCGGCCATTGTGACCATAAGATACTCTATTGATCACTGGGGACCAGTTTTATGCCAGGGTACCAACAGCCATTGTGGCCACCAGATTAGGACCACTGTGCCGGGGTACAAACAAATATAATCTCTGGAATGACTTCACTTGGAAGCTAAATAGAGAATCTCACCCAAGTGTCTACTCATATCAATTATATCAACACGAGTTGATAAAGTTACAAATACCCGAGGCTTGCCGAGGATATTTTTACCTTTATCAACGAGTGTTGATATATTTGATATCAGGAGACACAAGGGTGAGATTCTATTTAGCATCAAAAATAACTCTTCATTAGTTTTCAATGAAAAATGTACATCTCTCAACACTGTACTACCATTAGACTTGCAGTGCAGCTATGTCATAGCATTGTGATGTCATCAAGTTCATGACATCATAGCATTGTCAGGGCATTGTACAAAACCTACTGTCGATACGATATCTAATAGGAGATATCGTTTGATCATACACAAGCAATATCTCCTATGGAACACAGAATTGGATGATAAATACTTTTTACAGCAAACTGGCAGGGAAACGTCTGACATTGTTACTCACCTCTTGGCGAGGTCTGTCCACTGTTGTAACCACTCACAGCTGGGGATGTCCTTCATACATGCCTGCAGAAAACAACAGCTCATTACTGCACTGGAATAGGTCAGGCACTGAACACGTCATACTTAGTCTGGGGAATAATTGTTTACACGGGGACTGGAATTGGTCAAATATTGAATACATCATACAATAATGTGGGGACCAGGGAACTGGCAATGGCAGATATCAGACATGTAAGCATGTGCCATGAAGCTGTCTGAAACAGCACTAGAAGCTAAGGCACTTATTGGCTACCCTCTCCCCAGCCCGTCTCAGAGACTTACAAGATCCAAATGTAACTTGCAAAACAGCATTTACGTGGTGACTAAAGCTGAAGGTCATCCCCAGCCCTGTTCTCTGCTTCATCCCTACATTCCAACTCCTTCATCCCAGCACCGCTGTAACCATCCTCTTAATTCCCAGCTTCATCCCCCAGTGCTCTGGCAATACTCTACTTCATCCCTACATCCCAACTCCTGGAATCCCTCCCTCCCTTCATCCCAGCACCGCTGTAACCATCCTCTTAATTCCCAGCTTCATCCCCAGTGCTCTGACAATACTCTGCTTCATCCCTACATCCCAACTCCTGGAATCCCTCCCTCCCTTCATCCCAGCACCGCTGTAACCATCCTCTTAATTCACAGCTTCATCCCCCAGTGCTCTGGCAATACTCTACTTCATCCCAACATCCCAACTCCTGGAATCCCTCCTCCCTTCATCCCAGCACCGCTGTAACCATCCTCTTAATTCACAGCTTCATCCCCAGTGCTCAAGGGCAATACTCTACTTCATCCCAACATCCCAACTCTTGGAATCCTCCCTCCCTTCATCCCAGCACAGCTGTAACCATCCTCTTAATTCCCAGCTTCATCCCCAGTGCTCGGGCAATACTCTACTTCATCCCAACATCCCAACTCTTGGAATCCCTCCCTCCCTTCATCCCAGCACCGCTGTAACCATCCTCTTAATTCCCAGCTTCATCCCCCAGTGCTCGGGCAATACTCTACTTCATCCCCAACATCCCAACTCCTTCATCCCAGCACCGCTGTAACCATCCTCTTAATTCCCAGCTTCATCCCCCAGTGCTCGGGCAATACTCTACTTCATCCCAACATCCCAACTCTTGGAATCCCTCCCTCCCTTCATCCCAGCACCGCTGTAACCATCCTCTTAATTCCCAGCTTCATCCCCCAGAGCTCTGACAATACTCTGCTTCATCCCTAGATCCCAACTCCTGGAATCCCTCCCTCCTTTCATCTCCAGCACCGCTGTAACTCCCCTGTAATGCTCTGCTTCACCCACCACCCCATCCCCCTCCCATAAATCCATCCTTCATCAGTATCAACCTTACCTCCATGATCTCCAGCAAGGCATCAGCGATGGCCTCAAGAGAACTCAGTGGCATCTTCTCATTTTCCGACGGGGACATTGTGAACGACCTGTCCCCCGGGCGGTAACTGGTCCTGAAGGCACTGACGGCCGCAGACTTAACTTTGCTGATCCCAAACAGCTGGTAAAACTTGGGGAGTGAGAACTCCGCCAGACTCAGCTTGAGTACCTGGAGGGTGCTCTCTGGGGAGAGAGATCGATTGTCTGAATTTGGGCTCTCTGTGTGTGGAATATTGACACTTGTTAAAGACAGGAAAAGCATGGCAATTGGCAGAGTCAGATCATGTAGTGATGAGACTCCAGGACATAGGTATCTCATGAAAGTATCTCTCTAAGTGATGACAATAATGAAATCATACTTGCATCCTAACTTATTGATAATTACAGTCAATTCCTAACACCAAGTCATGACATATCATAAGGATTTATCTATCCCACTTGTTGCCCGAAGTCAGAAAAGCTCTGAACTGGAATAAAATTTCTAAAAATGTTTCTTTATTAGTAGTTGTAACTATACTATTCACACTTTGCTAGGATAAAATCATGGATTCAACAGAAAACTATGACGTGGGGTCTAATTTGGTTTAAATACCTAACCTTATTGTAAGCATGGATCCTAGGTTTCAGTATGTCATTGCATCTTGTGGATCCATACCTGCTATTGACAGGTGTTGTGTACTTGTCAATGACTCGTTCCATGATTTGCAAAATGGTTGATTGGTGCCATGAAAACCATTTTTATGGTTACTCATGTATCAGGTGCATACGGTTAGCTTAGAGTGACTATTTGCCTAATGAGGGGTTACCATATTTTTATCTATGCAGTTCTAAATGGATACAATTTCAAATTATAAATCTATGTCTAACTCTAGTTGATAATTTTTGTGATCCTTAGCAAAGTGTGAGTAGTATATAATAGTATCGCTTTGCCGATGTTAAGTAATTACAGAGATAAATGCACCAGTAGAGAAGAAGGCATTCTGATGCTTAGTTTATATTATGTTATTTGAAAACAATGTTAAAATACCACTACATTTAAGAAAATAAGGAAATTTTAAAAATTCCAATTGTTTCCCAAGTGATGGAGATTTTCCATACAGCTTGACAAGGGTACTTAGCTTGGTATCCTAGATATATCCTTGTAATATTGCCCTTAGTTTGAGATAATGAATCATATCATATGGTAAAAGTAATTTGAAATTTTACAAGAGAGTGTGAAAAATCACATGCTCATTAGCCAAGCATTGGAGAATATTGCTTAATAAATAGACATTTAATATGAGATTAATCCATGAATTCAACCACTAGTATTGAAAACAACAGCTACAGAAAGTATTGTAATGGCAACAGCATTTAAACAACAAAAACATCTATGAATGACACAGGTCTGAACTCACCCCCGAAGTGTAGTTGTGAACATGTGCAGAGTGAGTGAATGATGTTGATGACGAGGCCGTGGGTAGACGCCCGTAACGACAGCGGTCCCGTGGAGACTAGCAGGGTGACGATGTGGAACAGGAATGGGAGATGACTAGCGACTGAAACAGAAGGCGGCTCATCAGTACATGTACATCTTACCAATATGAGGATGGACTAATTAAGGCCACTATAGTGACACATCAGGAAGAAAATCTGGCCTCGGCTGCGACCCTTAACCCTCGAGTGGTGATGTTGGGGAGTTTGTTTGTCACACTCAGCAATATTCCAGCTATATGGCAGCGGTCAGTAAATAATCGAGTCTGGACCAGACAAACCAGTGATCAACAGCATGAGCATCAATTGTTGCAATAAGACGACCTGATCCAATTAGCCGTCTCTTATAACAAGTCTGGGTTGCTGAAGACCCCAGATCTTCATTGGGTGAAAGGGAAATGATGTTGGTATATTTCACAGCACTGACTGAAGAAAAATTCTGTCTCAAATAAAATAAAAATCTCAGTGTTAAAATAGTTTTGCACAACTCTGGCCTGAAATCAATGGGAAAAGTATGCAATATGATCATCTGAACTTGTTGGTCCTTGCTTGTTTGGTCCTCAAGTCAATGGTAAAGTGTAAGAGAATGATCATCTCAGGGATCAAATCAAATTGTGAAATGAAGGGGGCGCTGGGGTAGCCTAGTGGTTAAAGCATTGGCTCGTCAAGTTGAAGACCCGGGTTTGAATCCCCACATGGGTACAATGTGCGAAGCCCATTTCTGGTGTCCCCCGCCGTGATGTTGCTGGAATATTGCAAAAAGCGGCATAAAAACACAACTCAGTCAGTCAGTCAGTGAAATAAAGCCCCGAAGTCAATGTTAAAGTATGAGAGTAGGATTGTTTTAGCCTTGAGGCATGAAGCTCTGGTGCACTGCTTACCATCAAGTGAGTTATTGAAAGACAACATGAGGAGGTAGCGAGCCAGGATGGCTATGTCGTCCCACATCAGATGCTGCTCCAGAGTAGGTGTGGGGGACGTGCAGGTCTTGTCTATCAGCTGGAAAAACAAACAAGAGTCATCAGAAGATGACATATCCCCCCGGCCCCCACATCTTTGAAAGAACAAATCATCTAACAGTTACTTAAAGTCCAGCTTGATTTTAGACTAAGTGCAAATCATTTCCATGGAAATCATGAAAAACATAAATGACAAAAATCTGCAAATAGCAAAAGGCACCACTTTAAGATCTGCCTCACATATCTGCTAAGTTTTACTGAAAGATATTAAGCAGTTTTTGAGTTGTGCTCCGGAAACGAAACCTACAGCACCCTTTTGAGACTAAGTCTGAATCGTTTCCATGGAAACCGAGAAAAATAAAAATGCCAAAAATCTGCAAATAGCAAAAGGCACCACTTCAAGTTCTGTTTGAAATATCTACCAAGTTTTGATGAAAAATATTGAACGGTTCTTGAGTTATGCTCCGGAAACGAAGACCACCCCTCCTAAAGGGAGGGATGATCTTCGTTTCCGGAGCATAACTCAAGAACCTAAGTCCAAAACGTTTCCATGGAAACCGAGAAAAATAAAAATGACAAAAATCTGTAAATAGCAAAAGGCACCACCTTAGGTTCTGTTTGACATATCTACCAATTTTTTGTTGAAAAATATCGAACGGACTATGAGTTATGCTCCAGAAACAAAATGATTACAGACGGACGGACAGACGGACGAGGCGACGATTTTATTCCCCCGCATTACATGCCGGGGGGATAAAAATACCTGTATCAGGGTACGCCTTTGTAACTATTTCATCACACAATAAGCATTAGCTGAAGTCAGTTTCTTGAGTAAAAATTACTCCTATTATTCCAACACAAATGCCGCTATAAACTACTGAACGAGAAATTCTGATTCACATTAACCTAGCACACACAGAATACAAATCAGGTGTACCACCTTGCTCTTAGAGCAATAGGCAACAGAACACTGTTATCTGCACAACTGTTAATGGATAGTTGACACTAGAGATGGACTGCTGACAGCCAAAATACAGAATTTGTTGCAATGGTGTTAAGACATGTGGGACATTCGCAGACCAAATTACAATTTACCAAACAACACAAAAGTATCTAGTCCCATAATGCAGTCACGGCTACAGCCAAGCACAACTGACCCTGCAGAGGCGGCCGATGACCTTCCGAGACACCAGCTGCACATTGGCGGAGGTGAGCGCCACTGCTGTGTCCGCCATTATCTCAGCCTGTATGGACCCTAAACCACCCGTGACACTTCTCTGAAAACAAAGCAATTCACATAAAATATCTGTCAAATCCGTATCTCATTCAACGATATAAAATATAACATGGGGATGTAATTGATCTGCTCAGAGGTTGATATTTGTTTTAAATCTGGCACTACGGATTTCCAATCGGCACTCAAATATTCCCAATTTCTTTGAAAGTGTGGACATTAGAAAACAAAGAAAATCCAACTTTGAACAAAATCATGATTTTCCCCTAATTTGCTGTTCTTTAATACCAAGGTCAACCATTTTATGCACCAACAGTTTCATTGCATATACAGTGGAAACCTGATAAGTAAAATTTCAAGGGACTTGCCAAAATTGTTTACTTATCAGGTATTTTACTTATCCAAACTTATAAAAACCTGCAAATGACAACCATATGCATGTATATGTATGCATATGTAACAATGAACAACTTATCAGGGCTGGCCTCCAGTTGTCAGTGTATTGTCAACTGCTTGACGCCAGCGAGCTGTAAGTAGGATGTTTGTTTGACTGGAGACTGACACGACTGCCCCTCATGTCGGATTATGTGGTGATCGCTAATTTAGTTATCCAGTATCTTTTGTTAAGTAATTTACTTCCAGGGACCGTGAGAAGACGTTTAGTTAAGCGGTATTGTTTACTTATCCGAGTTTAGTTAACCAGACTCTAATAGTGATAATTAATGAAGAAATTTGCCGGGACCAAAGAAAAGTGTTTACTTATCAGGTCTGTTTAGTTAAGCGGTCTTTACTTAGGCGGTTTACACTGTAATTAGTTATGTTACAGGTTTAACAACTCGATTCTTGTTTGTCTACTCTTAAGACAAGAATCACAACCTGGCATCACAAGGTAAAGTGAGTGAGTGAGTATGGTTTTACGCCGCTTTAGCAATATCACAGCCAAGGACACCAGAAATGAGGTTCACATATTATACCCATGTAGGAAATCGAACCCAGGTCTACAGCAGTTATCCCACCGCCCCTGCCTAGGTAAAGCCTTGGCCTTGTTGTCTAATTATTGTTTAATGACATGCACAGCACTCGTCTCATTTGCAAGGATGTGGCACAGGGATATATTCAACCTGGAATCGCAAGGTAAGCCTTAAGTTTGTTTGTCGAAACAGGTAGCCATACCTTGATGAAGCTGTCTAGCACCATGTCGAGGAGGTCCCCGATCTGACCAATGTTGCCCCAGATCTTGGCCTGGATTGATGGGTACATCTGGGAGGGGAGAAGATCACACATTACACACAGAAGATCACACATTACACGCAGAAGATCACACATTACACACAGAAGATCAGACATAATACACAGAAGATGACACATTCCACACACAGAAGATGACACATTCCACACAGATCACACATTACACACACAGAAGATCACACATTACACACAGATCACACATTACACACAGATCACATATTACACAGATCACACATTACACACAAAAGATCACACATTACACAGAAGATCACACATTACACACAGAAGATCACATATTACACAGATGACACATTACACACAGATCACGTATTACACAGATCACACATTACACACAGATCACATATTACACAGATCACACATTACACACAAAAGATCACACATTACACACAGAAGATCACACATTACACATAGAAGATCACATATTACACAGAAGATCTCACCTCCAATAAACATATAGCTTAGACAATTAGTTACAGCAAAACATTCTCCCGAAGACATGAAACCTTTATCTTGGCAACTCCTTTAATCGTTGTAAAGATGTTTCATTATCTCATACCAAAATACCCAGAGCAACTTCGATTTTTGTAGAAATTCTGCCAAATATTACCAAAAATCAAAGGATGTTTTTCAACATGTGTCAGCATAAATGTCCTTTTCATGAGTCTGCCCTACAGTTTGCAAAGTACATACAAAACTACTTGTTTGTTTTAATATACATGTTCCATAGCATTTCATTTTATCATCCAAAACTGTGTTCCACAGGAGATATCGCATGTGTGAGATCAGACGATTACTCCTAGGAGATATCGTTTTGACAGTAGATTTTGTACAATGCCCTGACAATGCTATGACGTCATGAACTTGATGATGTCACAATGTTATGACATCGCTGCACTGCAAATCTAATGGCAGTACTGTGTTCAGAGATGTACATTTTTCATTGAAAACTAATGAAGAGTGATATTTGATGATAAATAGAATCTCACCCTCGTGTCTTCTGATATCAAATATATCAACACTCGTTGATAAAGGTAAAAATATCCTCGGCAAGCCTCGGATATTTGTTACTTTATCAACTTGTGGTGATATATTTGATATCAAAAGACACTCTGGTGAGATTCTCTACATATTATACAACAACCAGTTCAATAGTATATCAGGAAAATGACCTAAATTAAACCAACAATCATTGCGCTTCTGCATCCTGGCATACTGATACAGAAAACTGTCCCATCAGAAAACTTATATATGACTTCAAGTTTTCACAAAAATAAACATGAGACTGGTTAAGGACTGTCATTGCTCACCTCCTCTTCCTCTATTGTCATGGTGATGAGCTTGTCAAGTATAAGTGCCACCTTCTGCCTCTTGTTTTCATCACACTGCTTGCAGAACCTGACAAATAAACACACATGATCACAATCCATGAATCTATGCACAGATAAAGCGATGTGAGGTGGAACTGGGATTAACGTCATGTTCAAGATACTGCACTTCTACAGCAACGTCAATGAACTTCTGTGTGTTTTGCTGGCTGTACCTGTCAAGGCATATGCTTCTCTTCGTAGTGCTAACCCACAAGGCATCATAACACAACTTCGATACCCATAATTGACAGTGTTTGGATTCAGAGTGAGTGAGTTTAGTTTGATGCTGCTTTTGGTACACTTACAGAATACCGGATACATACCAACTATATTGTTTAATGTCACGTCACCCTAACCCTTACCCTAACCCGAACCGTAAACCTTACCCTACCCCTAAACCTTGCCCTAACCTGAACCCTAAACCTTACCCTTAACCTTGCCCGAACCCTAAACCTTACCCTAACCCTAGGGTTAGGGAGGTATCCGGTATTCTGTAATCTTACCCTGCTTTTACCTATAGTCCAGCAATATCACGGTGGGGACACCAGAAATGGGCTTCACTCATTGTACCCATGTGGGGATCAGACCCTACTCTTCGATGTGAAGGGTAAACACTTTAACCACCACCGCCCCTCTGATTCAGAGCAACAGTCCTTGTTTTATCCCTTTACTGCCAGGCAGAATAACAACAAGTACCATCTTTTAACATCTTTTGATCTAATGAGGCGAGACGATTATACACTGTCTTCCACCCTCAGCTGGTCTCACCCTCCACTACACCTGGAAGTCTGCACTGCCTAGAGCCATTCTTCCACTCACCCACAAAACTGACTGACTGACTGAGTAACCACAGCTTACTGTACCAAACCAATCGACCCGTACACTTCCTGCAGACCACAATTTTACCCGCTTTTAGCAATATTCCAGCAACATCACGGCGGGGGACACCAGAAATGGGCTTCACACATTGTACCCATGTGGGGACTCGAACCCAGGTCTTCGGCGTGACGAGCCAACGCTTTAACCACTAGGCTACCCCACCACCCTCACCCACAAAACAGAATTCCTGATTAGCAACCACTATGACAAGTGATCTATTAAGTCAAAAATAATGTGACAGAGTGACTTTTTTCACAGTCTCTCTGAAACACCACTTGCACTTCATGTGACAAAGTAGTTTTGACGTTTCCCCTATTCAATATTTGTGCTAAAAAGCATGAGCCACAATAGTCTCAGAGCTTATCTCCTGATCACCATTTTATTCTGCTTTAAAAAAAATTCATTGTGTTGTACTTGTTCAGATCAACTCTTTAACAATCCAGCTGAAAACAGCAGGCTGTAAATAATCTAGTCTAGACCTCATAACCCGGTGACTGACATCATAAGCAATGAACCACTGCTTTGGGGTACAAAGACGTGTTTTCAGCCATCTAAGGCAGAGATGCCAACACTATTTTGGGCCTAAGTGTAATACAGGAGGTCAAAAAGTGTAATTTGGACCTAAAAAGTGTAATACTTAGTGAAAGGTGTTAACTTTAAAAATTAATTGTAAGAAGGTTAATTCACATGAATAGCAATATTCTAGACAGAAATACACGTGACCAATCATTATGAAGCTCCATACATCGAAAATTGTTGGTCATGAGACACAAAATACTTTAATTCCTTACAAGTTAATTGGAATGAGCGCGATGCTAAGAGTAAGACCATTTCTGAACTCCTGTACCAGTGCGTTACGAAACACTTCCCTGTGAAATTTTTTCCACTTTATTGATTGTCTTAAAACGAGTAGAAAAGCGTATTTTTCGCAGATTAAGTGTAATGGAGTAATTTAATGGTCAAAATCGTAATAATTACGCCCACAGTGTAAGGGTTGGCATCTCTGTCTAAGGTCTGGCCACCTTTCCACTTGGTCACCTCTTACAATCAGTGTTGTTTTTTGTTTGGTTTTTTTATTGTTGTTTACCCCACACTGAGCAATATTCCAGCTGTATACCAGCCGTCTGTAATTAATCAAGTCTGGACCAGACAATCCAGTGACTAACTCAGTGTTGGTTGCTGTGCCCCAGTTCTAAACAGGGATCCTGAGAGGAGCATCTGTTGTGGCTGTACCTGGTCAGGTTGGGGAGCCAGGGTGTGATGTACTCCAGACACAAGTGCTTCATCTCGATGTTGGAGTTGCCAAAGCCCTGGATGCACTCCTCCAAGAACTCCAACGTCAAGTGCGGCTCCTTCTCCGCCAGCTTCTCACTGATGGACTTGATGAAGATGGTGTTGTTGGCAGGAATACACAGACCTGAACACATATACATGAGTGAGTCAGTAATTTAGACTAAACTGTTGGCAGGAATACACAGACCTGAACACATATACATGAGTGAGTCAGTAATTTAGACTAAACTGTTGGCAGGAATACACAGACCTGAACACATATACATGAGTGAGTCAGTAATTTAGACTAAACTGTTGGCAGGAATACACAGACCTGAACACATATACATGAGTGAGTCAGTAATTTAGACTCAACTGTTGGCAGGAATACATAGACCTGAACACAGGTCCATGAGTGAGTCAGTAATTTAGACTAAACTGTTGGCAGGAATACACAGACCTGAACACATATACATGAGTGAGTCAGTAATTTAGACTCAACTGAAACACCACAGTCTGTAATATTCCACCTATTTATCCTTTAAGTGGCATTTAGAAGCTGGTATGATGAAGAAGAAAATCTCTTATGGATAGAGACCTTCTTTATTCTTTTTTTGACAGAATTAGCAAAAATCTACATATCATGTATTTGGTGTGGTATTTTTGCTAACTGAAACAAAATCATGTCAATTGTTCTAGGTCTGTGTATCAATGCTGATACAAGTAAATCGCTTTACAGGTTCAATGAGTGCAAAAGTAAATAAGGAAGATAACTCTATACAATTGTACAGACACTCTGTATATGGGCCACTGATGTAACGAGCATTCGATCATGACAACTAAGGGAGGTCACCCTTACCATTGGTCTCCAGTAGTTGGCCTTCTATCTTGAGGTCGAAGGTCTGGGTGAGAGCACACAGCAAGTTGTAGGCAGCTGACCGGAGACTGGGGTCCGAGCTGCCCAGATTGAGGAGAGCCTGGACACACAAACACAACACCAGTCACACAATACATCAACAGAATACACCATACTGGCAACCAACCAACCTGACTTCACCAAACGGAAATTAACCGAAGCCATCCACATCAGACGACACCGACCCCTGATCAACAGAGATCAAGGTTATTTCATGCCCTCGGCATACGATGACCTCATCAACCACCCCTAACTGCTTGTATACTTGTATAACATGTCCCATCACTCCGGCTCTGTACACCCCACGGGCTTCTAAATGTATCCATTGTCACTGGCTTCCACATGTAATCCCTTATCATCACATTGTTACTGTACATCTAATTTACTTCTTGTTGTTCTTGTTAATTATTTACTATACATATATATATGTAACCCTGTGTTTTACCTGACTCATACTTGCTTGACAACGATACAAGAATCTGTATCGAAACATCGCATTTTCCGAATAAAGAAGTTGTTCATCCATAAAGTTTGTTCCTTATCTCACACAATACATGGTGACAACTACAGACGTTCTCATAATGATGTGTCCACAAGAGCATCAAATTTTAGGACTGATGTGAGAGTATTTCTATGACTTATCTACATTGTATGTATACTCACCACATTCAGTAGCGTACCGGGCACATCCTTGGGGCGGATTTTGGTGTGAACTGCCACAGTATCCTGGAAAAGGAAACCCACATATCAGCAGAGTTATCCCACATATCAACAGAATTATCCCACATATCAACAGTTACCCCACAAATCAACAGAGTTATCCCATATATCAACAGTTACCCCACATATCAACAGTTATCCCACATATCAACAGTTACCCCACATATCAACAGAGTTATCCCACATATCAATAGTATTATCTCACATATCAGCAGTTACCCTACATATCAACAGTTACCCCACATATCAACAGTTATCCCATATCAATAGTATTATCTCACATATCAGCAGTTATCCTACATATCAACAGTTATCCCACATATCAGCAGAGTTACCCCGCATATGAACAGTTATCCCACATATAAACAGAGTTATCCCACATATCAATAGTATTATCTCACATATCAGCAGAGTTATCCCACATATCAGCAGAGTTACCCCGCATATGAACAGTTATCCCACATATCAACAGAGTTATCCCACATATCAATAGTATTATCTCACATATCAGCAGTTACCCTACATATCAACAGTTACCCCACATATCAACAGTTATCCCACATATCAATAGTATTATCTCACATATCAGCAGTTATCCCACATATCAACAGTTATCCCACACATCAGCAGAGTTACCCCACATATGAACAGTTATCCCACATATGAACAGAGTTATCCCACATATCAATAGTATTATCTCACATATCAGCAGTTATCCCACATATCAACAGTTATTCCACATATCAGCAGAGTTACCCCGCATATGAACAGTTATCCCACATATAAACAGAGTTATCCCACATATCAATAGTATTATCTCACATATCAGCAGTTATCCCACATATCAGCAGAGTTACCCCGCATATGAACAGTTATCCCACATATCAACAGTTATCCCACATATCAATAATATTATCTCACATATCAGCAGAGTTATCCCACATATCAACAGTTATCCCACATATCAGCAGAGTTACCCCGCATATGAACAGTTATCCCACATATCAACAGAGTTATCCCATATCAATAGTATTATCTCACATATCAGCAGTTACCCTACATATCAACAGTTATCCCACATATCAGCAGAGTTACCCCGCATATGAACAGTTATCCCACATATAAACAGAGTTATCCCACATATCAATAGTATTATCTCACATATCAGCAGTTATCCCACATATCAGCAGAGTTACCCCGCATATGAACAGTTATCCCACATATCAACAGTTATCCCACATATCAATAATATTATCTCACATATCAGCAGAGTTATCCCACATATCAACAGTTATCCCACATATCAGCAGAGTTACCCCGCATATGAACAGTTATCCCACATATCAACAGAGTTATCCCATATCAATAGTATTATCTCACATATCAGCAGAGTTATCCCACATATCAACAGTTATCCCACATATCAGCAGAGTTACCCCGCATATGAACAGTTATCCCACATATAAACAGAGTTATCCCATGTATCAACAGTATTATCCCACATATCAACAGAGTTATCCCATATATCAACAGAGTTATCCCATGTATCAACAGTATTATCCCACATATCAACAGAGTTATCCCACATATCAACAGAGTTATCCCACTGTCTGGGGCGGGTAATTTATGCCAAGGACAAGTGAAATGGAAAATACACATCCCTCTGCTCGTGATGGGTTCACCCATCCTGTGGATGGTCATATCTTTTTCTGCCAGTCAATGGTAATATACCATTATAAAATCAAACAGTTACAAGGAAGTCAGCTCCAGGAATGATCATCTTTTACAGATACTTAGTATCAGTGACCAGCAATTGAAAACTGACTGTCATTTATTGCAATTCGTGGGCAGTAAAAATTATAAAATAGCTGAGCTTTAAATATTCAACACTGCACACTTAAATATACTGGACAAAATAAGTTAGGGATATTGGTATTTTTATGATTGATATTTTATCAAGGTGTCAATGAATAAAAACATCATTATTCATCATTTCAAAATTTACATATATCCCTAACTATTTTGTCCAGTATATAAATATTCACCACAGTACAACACAAGTAAATGTCTGTTAAGCTATCTGCATGTACATAGCTCTTACCGGCTGCGAGAGTTCCCAGCGGGTCCTGATATGTATGATGGCTTGGACAATGTTATCACAGTCATTGTGTATGAAAGACAAAGGGCCACTCTCATTGGCTATAGTCAACGTGAACTGATTGTCGTCTACTAGACACACCTGCAAGACAAAATGAGCACAAGGTAATTATACAATCATCAATGACATTTGACAGTTTCAACCAATCAGTGTTAAATTTCGCTATCAGAAATATTATACCTGGATGAGTGAGTGAGTGAGTATGGTTTTTACACCACTTTTAGCAATATTCAAGGAATATCACGACTGGAGACACCAGAAATGAGCTTCACACATTGTGCCCATGTGGGGAATCAACCTCAGGTCTTTGGCGTGACGAGCCAACGCTTTAACTACTAGGCTACCCCACCGCCCCTATACCTGGATGAAGGCAACTTCTAAATAAACAAATCTACATAAGACAAACCAGCAACACATATTATGACTTGTTTGCTTGTTTGATGTTTAAAACACCACACTCAGCAATGTTCCAGCAATATAATGGCAGTCTGTGAATAATACAGTCAGGACTAGACAATCAGGTGAACGAAATTAGTTAAACATGGAAGCATGATGTCTAACACAGAGTTACCATGGATACTTCACACAGACATTTACCATGGATACTTCACACCGACAGTTACCATGGATACCTCACACAGAGTTACCATCGATACCTCACACAGAGTTACCATGGACACCTCACACAGAGTTACCACGGACACCTCACACAAACAGTTACCATGGATATCTCACACAGACACAGTTACCATGGATACATCACAGTTACCATTGATACCTCACACAGTTACCATGGATATCACACAGACAGTTACCAATAGATACCTCACACAGAGAGTTACCATGGATATCTCACACAGACAGTTACCATGGATACCTCACAAAGACAGTTACCATGGATACCTCACACAGTTACCATGGATACCACATACAGAGTTACCATGGATACCTCACACAGACAGTTACCATGGATACCTCACAAAGACAGACCACAAAGCAGTGTAGTGGGGAGACATGGACATTGCCACCTCACGACATCAACAGTGGCAACTCACCTCCTCTATCTCAGCAGCGTAGTAGACGTCGTTGAGGAGCACCTGGTGTCCCAACACTCTGCTCTTCTCTGACGAGGTCACCTGGATGGCATTAGGACCAACCTGGAACACACATAAAACACCATTTGACTGTGAAACACATGCACGTGAGATGACCAAGAGACATAGGTGTTTGTTTGATTGTTCCAGCTATATGGTGTTGGTCTGGAAATAACTGAGTATGGGCCTGACAATCCAGTGATCAACACCATGAGCATCGATCTACAGAGCTTGGATACAATGACAGTCAATCACTTCTAACCGCAAACCCAGATCTCCACAGGTCCCATACAGACATCACAAGACAAGCATCTGCCAGACATGATTTACCGTATATCACCGTCTATAAGCCGAATTTTGAGGACCAAAAAAAGCAGTCTGTAGAAGGGGGTCGTCTTATCCTTGGGTTACGCGGTAATCAGTTTCGCTTGTTGAATGGGGTAAAATAAGCAAGCCACTTTGTTGCTACAATAAATATGATATTTAGAGAAACAAAATATATTATGCATTTTCTGTCAACTACACTTCGTTTCGATCCGTGAGTAGACACAATATATATGATTGTGAATTCTTTGAATAATGTGGACCAAAGTTATAATTATTGGTAACTGCCAGTTGTCTGTGGTCTGTGTTTGCCGCGATTAGGACCCCATCGTGGGGGATCGACTTATGCACGGAACATACCATTTTGACTCTGATTTTAAGGGTCAAGTTTTGGGTCGTCTTATCCATGGGGTCGTCTTATAGACGGTAATATACGTTATTTCAGAATGAGTTTAACCCCACCAAATAGAGATGGTTGACATCCTCTTGTCTTAATTCCTCCATTGGAAAAATATTCAATTATTCAACTAGCTCAAAGCAACTATTTCCCCTATGCATATTTAATGTGAATAATCTTGAGAAGTAAAAAAATGGAACAATGTTACCATGGATATATTATATCAAGGGAGGTAATTTGAACAGCATCATGACATCAGCTAACACTCACAACGTATATTTATTGCACGAAAAGCACTGTCATCACCTTGGATCAATTAGTGAATCATCTTAGATAATTCAATAAATATTAACTTGAGTTGGTAAATGAAAGCCAAACCTTAATGGCAACCTTGGTGTCTTTATGAGAAAGATTGAGTGCATCGTTGAACACCTTAGTGAATCATCTTAGATAATTCAATAAATATGGGCCTGAGTTTGTAAATGAAAGCCTACCTTAATAGCAACCTTAGTGTCTTTATGAGAAAGTTTGAGCGCATTGTTGAACACCCTGAGATCCTCCTCCAAGGAGACCGTTGTCCCGGGCAACTTCTGCTGGTCAGGCTCGATGTACTCGTTCAACTTGGCTGGATGATCGATGAAGTTCAGCTTCCGGTTGTTCTGTCAAGAAAGACATTTATATTTCGATTCAGAGTGAGTGTGACAAACAATTTATCATCACACAGCATTTTAGAATACCTGAAACAAACACAAACTGCTCACTTCAGTGTGAGTTTTGTTTTATGATGCAGTCAGCAAATTTTCCAGCAACATCATGGTGTCCAATAAATTATCATGTCTGGAAGAAAACCAGCATCTTCAGCAACATCCAACACCATCTGGACATCAACGACAGCATTAGATCTAATTTAGCAGCCTCCAGTGACCAGGAAATAGTGAGTGAGTGAGTTTAGGTTTGACCCGGTTTTAGCAATATTCCAGCAATATCATGACAGGGGACACCAGAAATGGGCTTCACACATTGTACCCATGTGGAGATTTGAACCCGGGTCTATGGTGTGACGAGCAAACTCTCTAGGCTACCCCACTGCCCCTTCAAGACTATTAAAACGCAATGAAGAGATGGGGGACACCAGAAATGGGCTTCACACAATGTACTCATTTGGGGAATCAAACCAGGAGCTTCGGCGTGACAAGCGAACGCTTTAACCAATAGGCTACCCCACCGCCCCAACCAGGAAATAGAGGCAAGCTGAAGACAAAATGGGGTTTCAAAGAGTGAATGGGACAAGCAAAGACGGAGGAGTGAGTCCAAATTATTCATCAGTCGATATTTCAGGATATCAGAGACAAACACAAACTGCTCACTTCAAACTGATTTTTGTTTTATGCTGTAGTCAGCAAATGTTCCAGAACCATTACATAGTCCAGTAAGTTATCATGTCTGGGCCCAACCGGCATCATTAGCAACAACAACTCCATCTAGGCAACAGCCACAGCATTAGAACTAAGTGACAGTGGAATCCGTCTATTACAGACTGGCCAGGGACCGACTCATTTGTCGGGGCGGTGGGGTAGTCTAGTGGTTAAAGCGTTGGCTCGTCACGCCGAAGACCCGGGTTCGAATCCCCACATGGGTACAATGTGTGAAGCCCATTTCTGGTGTCCCCCGCCGTGATATTGCTGGAATATTGCTAAAAGCGGCGTAAAACCAAACTCAGTCAGTCAGTCAGTCGACTCATTTGTCCAGATTATAAAGCAGTCAGGACTAGTCAACTTTTGTCCGTTACCGTAGAAACTGCCAATATGAGTTACCTCTCTTTGTGAAGGACAACCAACAACTTGGATAGTTCTTTTTTGTTTGTTTTTTATTTATACTCAATAACAAGCAAGTAATCTGTCATTTATTGGACTTAAACCCATTAAATTATGTGTTTTATAAAATCAATTAACCATTGAGAACAGAAGTAACAGAGATGTTTATTCAACAGACTGTTATTTTAGTCAGCTACATCCGGATTACAAAGCATTGTTCTCATAGCCAGTTGATTGCCGGCACTGTAATTTTAGTCCGTAATCCATAATTGAGAGAGTCCGGATTATAAAGCAAGCTTTAATGATAAATTAAGAATTTTGTCGGGACTCAGAGAGTAGTCCGGACCATTGAGAAAACCGGTTTATAAAGAGTCCGGATTTGACAGATTCCACTGTAGTTGCCATTAGTGACAAGAAATAGAGACAAGCTGAGGTGAAATGGTGTTTTTCACCTTATTCAAGTTCATTTCAGAGGTAAAAACCCAATAATTTGACACAAGCTTTTAACTGTAATATCCTGAAATACCAAATGTTATAAGTGTTGATTCACTTACATAGTTGACCCGAAGAGGAGCAAGGATACGATCATGGTACTTGGTGTATTCGCGCACCCAGGAGTTGCAGTTGTAGATGTAGGCGGCGACGATGTTCTGATACACGTTCTCTGGCATCACCACGAACCATTTTGATAAGAAGTCGGTCTGAAACAGACAATAAGTAGACAGACTCACACAACCTTTGAATGTGGGCACCGTACCGCAGTGCCTCGTATGTCTTTTAAGTGAATATTAAATGGAAGGTTATCAAAATAACAGCTTGACTGATATGAGAATATGAAAAAGCTATTCAAAGAAGCTTACCATTACAATATACACTGATCAAAAATAAATTAGGGATCGTGAATATGCTGGGATATATTTTTTATATCGTTTTCTTAGTCTGAACTACAAAACAAATAATGTTCCTCATTGGTTGAGTGAAAACAGATTATCTTCAGACGCATTAAAAAATGGGGTAATCCTTAACTTTTTTTAATTTTTATAGTTAGACAATAGTTACCATAATGATTTAGGGAATTAAAGTTGTCTTTATTAGATTAGATTTATTAGATTTTAAACTACAAAAATCATTCTCAATAGCATTTGCAAGCAACTTTCTTTCCATGGTGAGTATGTTAACAAGCAGCTCCAAAATGCATTCTTTGCTCTGCACACCGGGTACATTCGTGCATCCTGTACTTCATTCAGAAACAATAAAATATGACACAACACACAGAACAAGGCAGGAAGCTCATCAAACATACAGTTACAACAATTGACCCCCTCACCAGTCATGACGAAAACACAGCCTCACCAATCATGCACAGTCTGACTTTCATCAGATAGCTGAATCATAGCCAGCTGTATCAGAACCAGCTGAATCAGAACCAGCTGAATCATTACCAGCTGTATACAGAACATACAAAAGAACTCTCACCAGTTGTGTTTCTTTAACCGTATGTTAGCGTTATGACCATCATGAGTCTGTGTTAATGAACTGGAGTAATGCTAGTCTTAGCTCAGAACCAATTTGATGAACGGGACCATACAGAGCTGACAATAGCAGAAGATTAGGTACCCGTCTCAGACAGATATGCACGGAATACAGCTGAAACCTCATCAATCATGAAGAGCAGATTTTACAGCCATGTAGAGCACCACACTCACCGACTATGCAGAGCACCACACTCACCGACCATGCAGAGCACCACACTCACCGACCATGCAGAGCACCACACTCACCAACCATGTAGAGCACCACACTCACCAACCATGTAGAGCGCCACACTCACCAACTATGTAGAGCATCACACTCACCAACCATGCAGAGCACCACACTCACCAACCTCACACCAACCACCCGACCATGCAGAGCACCACACTCACCAACCATGCAGAGCACCACACTCACCAACCATGCAGAGCATCACACTCACCAACCATGTAGAGCATCACACTCACCAACCATGTAGAGCACCACACTCACCAACCATGTAGAGCACCACACTCACCAACCATGTAGAGCATCACACTCACCAACCATGTAGAGCACCACTCTCACCAACCATGTAGAGCACCACACTCACCAACCATGTAGAGCACCACACTCACCAACCATGTAGAGCACCACACTCACCAACCATGTAGAGCATCACACTCACCAACCATGCAGAGCACCACACTCACCAACCATGTAGAGCACCACACAATTTCACCGACCATGCAGAGCACCACACTCACCAACCATGTAGAGCATCACACTCTCACCAACCATGTAGAGCACCACACTCACCAACCATGTAGAGCACCACACTCACCAACCATGTAGAGCACCACACTCACCAACCATGTAGAGCATCACACTCACCAACCATGTAGAGCACCACACTCACCAACCATGTAGAGCACCACACTCACCAACCATGTAGAGCATCACACTCACCAACCATGTAGAGCACCACACTCACCAACCATGCAGAGCATCACACTCACCGACCATGCAGAGCACCACACTCACCAACCATGTAGAGCATCACACTCACCGACCATGCAGAGCACCACACTCACCAACCATGTAGAGCACCACACTCACCGACCATGTAGAGCACCACACTCACCGACCATGCAGAGCACCACACTCACCAACCATGTAGAGCATCACCCTCACCGACCATGCAGAGCACCACCTTTGTCAATCAAGCACAGCAGGCCAATCACCAACATTGTAGAGCAGAAGTCACAACCAAGCAGAACACCATCACCCAACATGCAGAACACCATCACCCAATCACCCAACAAGCAGAACACCATCACCCAACAAGCAGAACACCATCACCCAACAAGCAGAACACCATCACCCAACAAGCAGAACACCATCACCCAACAAGCAGAACACCATCACCCAACAAGCAGAACACCATCACCCAACAAGTAGAACACCATCACCCAACAAGCAGAACACCATCACCCAACAAGCAGAACACCATCACCCAACAAGCAGAACACCATCACCCAACAAGTAGAACACCATCACCCAATATGCAGAACACCATCACCCAACAAGCAGAACACCATCACCCAACAAGCAGAACACCATCACCCAACAAGTAGAACACCATCACCCAATATGCAAAACACCATCACCCAACAAGCAGAACACCATCACCCAACAAGCAGAACACCATCACCCAACATGCAGAACACCATCACCCAACAAGCAAAACACCATCACCGAACATAGCAGAACACCATCACCCAACATGCAGAACACCATCACCCAACAAGCAGAACACATCACCCAATATGCAGAACACCATCACCCAACAAGCAGAACACCATCACCCAACATGCAGAACACCACCATCACCCAACAAGCAGAACACCATCACCCAACATGCAGAACACCATCACCCAACAAGCAGAACACATCACCCAACATGCAGAACACCATCACCCAACATGCAGAACACCATCACCCAACATGCAGAACACCATCACCCAACATGCAGAACACCATCACCCAACATGAAGAACACCATCACCCAACATGCAGATCACCATCATCCAACATGCAGAACACCATCACCCAACATGCAGAACACCATCACCCAACATGCAGAACACCATCACCCAACATGCAGAACACCATCACCCAACAAGCAGAACACCATCACCCAACATGCAAAACACCATCACCCAACATGCAGAACACCATCACCCAACATGCAGAACACCATCACCCAACATGCAGAACACCATCACCCAACATGCAGAACACCATCACCCAACATGCAGATCACCATCATCCAACATGCAGAACACCATCACCCAACATGCAGAACACCATCACCCAACATGCAGAACACCATCACCCAACAAGCAAAACACCATCACCCAACAAGCAGAACACCATCACCCAACATGCAGAGAAGATCATGCAGGAGAATAAACAGTGGAACATACCATACTTACCCTGAATCGGTTCTCAGAGCATGTGTGGGTGAAGTCTATGACCAGCTCAAAGGGCTTGTGGTAGAAAGGCTTGAGAGTGAGCAGCACATGGTAGATCAGCAGGTCGCCATTAATTTCACCCACTCTGGAAGAAGAATCAGACAGTGTTGGTTAAGCACTCCTTTGAACCATATTCAAGTCTATCACATGTTGGCTTATGAGAAAGGAAAGCACAATGTGAAGTAGGGCACAAGTGTTGCTGGTATGATGTTCATAAACCGAGAAACATAATCCGAGCAAATTTTGATTCAAAACTACAATCATAGGCTCCTGTTGTGACAAGGGACACAACTCTCCACATGTAATTGCTGCACCTACAGACTAGGCCACCTGTGCCTAACTGGAGAAGAAAGCAGCAATTCCAAAAGTCAGATGTTTAAAAGATTTATTGAAAGACAAATGGATGAAAAACATGATACTATGAACACCACTGGTCAACAACGAAACAATGACTCAAAAACTCAAAATCAAAACTGGTGATTGAAATAGGTACAGACTTGTATCTCCTGGCGATGTAGTAGAATACAGGGTTGCCTCCCTTGCTTTCGTCCCTGCCTGGTAGAAGATGTGTTGGTTTTTCAACGACTTGAACTCATCTTTCTCGTGCATGTTGTGCTTCGACATGATCTCTTCAAACTTGGTGCTGGTCATATCCATGCTGCTCCACCTACAGGCAAAACAAGGGAGGTAAGCACATGCAGCCATTATGCAAGGATTTTACCATTTTCCCCATTTTTGTCACCCATTCTTGGACCAGGCTCTTATTAAGATATTACTGAAGCATCTGTCAACTCCAAAAAAAAACAAAATTTGTAAATGTGAAAAGAATATAATGTTACAAATTGAAATGAAGTTTTTTAAGAATCAGTTGTTTAGAAAACTGTAAAGTTTAACCAAAGATGAATTATTTCAAATCCTGTAATTAAGTCAAAAAGAATAATCTGAAATTGCATTTCTATTATTTCAACCAAGGATCGTCATTTTGTGGTAAGACCAGACCAATTGTATTTCTTGTTTTACGGATCCGCCAGTTTTATTTTTTCAAGAATAAGAAAAAATAAATAAATTAATTTCCCCCGCTCAAAAAATAAAATCGTTGAAGTTTTTATTGGCCCAAAATGAAAACTTATAAGAACTCTTTTTTATTGTTTTTTTTGCCCCATATACACTTCATAAATTGCCACATGTAAAATACGTTTAATATTTAGAAGGAATATTACTTTGATTGGTGATTTTATTTTTATTTTTTCCCCTCCTGCCTTCAGGTTTTCTGAGGACAAAAGTCCGTGAAACAAAAAATAAATTTGGTCTGTCCCCAAAAGAAATATACGAAGATATGAAAAAGTTTCCATAAACATAATGCAAATGCCTGCCATTTGTCAGTAGCAGATAACTCACATAACAAATTTCTGACCCTTGTTTTCCTTTAAGTACTTGGTTTCCCATTCAGTCCAACCAATGTTAAACATTTTTTAGCATTAAGCAGGGATGGCAACAGGAAAATCTATTTTCAGCTGAAAACTTAATATTGTGTCATCGAGTTGAGGGCTTCTCAATGGATTTAGACGATTCACAATTGAACAATTTGAAATAAAATCCCTGGAAATCCACGGATCAGCGGAAAATTGCCGTCCCTGATTAAGCAAAGTTACATGTGAATGCTGGAAAGTAACCGCTTGACTGGACATTGAAAATCTGCCCGTCCTTCCCCCAACCAACTTTTAGACCCACCTGTTAGTAATCTTCGAAAGCATCCCCTTCTATATGTGACACTGTATATGTTCTACTGTATATTAAAGATCTTTTTACAGAAAGATCAAATAGGGGTACATAACTACCTATAAATACCACTGAAATATTTTACGATATTTCATCAATGTTTGAACTAACTTTGTACAGGACAATTTAATCTCTGAAATGGGCATTCTCTTTTGTTTATCTCCTTATCAGCACCTCATTTTGTCAAAGTTCACAGGGTATATTTCAATTTATCAAAGGTTAGCAAAACTTCATAAAAAAATATTCAAGTTTTTACACGTAAGATAAAGTGTTTATTATCATCAAAAAAAACAAAAACTATGACAATAGGCCTGCTCCATATTTCAAGTTTGTTTGTAGTCAAACCCCAACATAGCAATAATCCACCTATGGAACAGCAGCCATGCAATCCGGAAGTCAATAAGCCTGCCCCCCAACCAAACATGCCTCTGATGAATAACTTAAAAAGCTGCTGAGGATATTTCTGATCCGGATCCTCACAAGGGGTCCATGTATTCCCTGTCTTTGTCATGTTTACTTTATCCACCTGCCTACCCAAAAATGTCTGGATTGTTTGTTGGTTATGTTAACGCTGCATTCAGCAACAGCCTTGCTGCAGGTAGTCTAAATATAACAGAGTCTGTGACACATCATGAGCATCGATCCACGCAACCAAGCCACCTAGTCTGACAACCCGATCCAATTTGTAGCCTGACAAGCAGAGGTTCCTGAACACGGACATTCTTACCGGAATCCAAACAGGAAAATGCATGACAGAAATGATAAGATGATGATGATGATGATAATTCTAGTTGTCTGTGAGACATGGGGACTGTTGATAGCTAATGTTAAGATGTTGGCTACATAAGCAATGAGAAGCAAGCTAGATCCCAACCCTGCAGAAACATCTAGCTAACAGTTCTATGTCCCTGTAACAGTCATACTGGACTGGCCTTTAACAGAGAATGAGGCTGTCCTCCTTGGCCGGTACACCAGTGGAATACCATTCTCTTCCCACAGAGGTTACTCCTGTCATATCTTCCTACATAACCTCTGTTCTAATACGGCCATATTTCCCGGTCCTCGTAAAATCCCCTAGCGGCAAAAGATCGCAACACGAATTATCTCCCTTCTTTCTATCCAATCAGAACACGTGTTACATCGACTTAGATTCAATTTGACTAACACAAGCAAATGCGGGGCCACAAATATCCCCCATCTGCCGGGGAATTGTGTTGATGTTACACACAAGACGTTTAATGGCTAGCTTGTCCGTTGTCAACGAGGGCGATGGAGACGCCATTGATACGCCATTACATGACTGAGTTCTGTCTAGAAGAAACGTTTGCGCATCGCGCTCGGGAAGAGGTTCTAGTTTTCCCGAAGCATACGGAAATTACCGAGGCCTTGCGAATGATCACTTTTGAAACAACGTCGCTGATTGCACAACTAAATCGGCTTGTCTCCAATCACGAGCCTTGAACGCTGACACCAAGAAAGGGTCGTATTAGAACAGAGGTTATGTAGGAAGATATGACAGGAGTAACCTCTGTGGGAAGAGAATGGTGGAATACAGGCATATCAGCATTCATTGATACCATATAGACGGACCAAACTGTTTGTTTGTTTGTGAATGTGGGCTGACTCTGCATTCAGCTGTATAGCAGCCATATCGAAGAAGGTTTGAATAATCTGTACCAGGCAACCAGTGACAGAAGGCTGAACAGCCTCCACCATTGTGGCAAGAAGACATATATTCAGCAAAGGCTCAGAGAGACTTGCCAGATGATCCAGGTAGCCTCTTCTTGAGGACCCCTCCTAACCCAGTCAACACAGGGACCTGTACTTAGGCAGGTGTTGGTCATTCCACAGATTAACAATCAGTTTGCAGTATGGGGACAATGACTAGAAGATTGTGTCATTTAGAGAGTTGATCAGAGATATACAATATTTCCTCCAAATCATTTGTGGACTCTCAACTACCATCCGCCCACACACTTACTGGAAATCTCGATCTCATCATTTACCTGAGATCAGTTTGTCTCACAGTTACTGTCACTTAAACATATTTCAATAACTTTTAGAAACAAAATGGGTTTTGGGACAATTATTGTAGGAAACATTCCGATATAAAGGGACATAACTCCACATCTGTAGTTTTCTTGAAAATGGTTTACCTGGGATGTTTCAGAAAAAGCATTTAGGGTTGTCTTCCACTGCTTTCAGAAAAATTCCAACAATATTGTTGGGTACACCAGAATTGAGCTTAACACACTGAACCCATGTGGGAATTGAACTCTGCTGGTATGACAAGTAAACTGCAAGACTACCCATCACCTACTTGTAACAGCATTGGGCTTTTTATAACTAAGACGTGATGTGAAGTAAAGGGAGATTAACCCGAGATGAAAGGTAGGGATGTTCACTGACCCATGGCCCAACCTTGCAACCCACATTTCTGTGTTCACAAGCCTTACAAGTCACCGATCATATGATTTTGTGATTTTGGTGCAACCAATTTTAATGTGCAACTGGTTTTCATGTGCAACCTATTTTCCACGTGCAACCAATATTTGAAATCCCTGGTTCCACCACAACAGGACTTTAATATACTGACACTGATTGGAGGAAACCTTGTTACGAAGGAGACAGTTCACTCACTGAGAGTCAAGAGGCCGATGCTCTGGAGGGCCCAGATACGCCAACAGTGTCGCCATTTTGTCAAATGGTCGTCTTCCCACAGCCTTGTGATCCCTGAAATAAACTTGTCTCATTCAGGGAGCATTTGGCTTTGTACGTCTCACTCATAGCAATCTACAATGGTTTCAATTTGATATCAGTCTCTAAAGGGTATCACAGATATCATTTTGTTCAATTTGGTTAACACCATTTAACTGTCTCAGAGACAAAGAACAGAGGGATCTAACAGACGTCCAAATGCTCCCAGAATATGAATATTATTTTTGTTCAAATTCTTAACAGTGTCAAACTAAAAAATAAAAGCACGATGATACTTTGAATCGCAAACTAAAGTTATTTCTGGACTAAATCCGGGCAGCTGACACAGACTACTGTCGACGCATAAAGCTACATGCACACTACGCTGAGGAGCGCTACATTTGCTACAAAAGACTAAGATCTGTGAAGGACCTGGGTCAGAAGCTGATTCTCAGATTCATGGCAGATTTGTAGAAATGGCAGATGTTTGCACGGCCATATCGCTCATGAATGATAAAGAAGTTTATATGTACAAATAAGAGCCCATCTCTGAAATTATGGAGAGTGAAAGTGCCCAATAGAATAGGAGATGTGATGTTAACAAGAGATGGAATGAAGTTTCAGTGAGAATGATGTCATAAAGGGAAGGATGTCATAGTGGGAATGAAGGCTTCCTGAGCATGATGTCATAAAGGGAATGATTTCAGAGGAAATGATGACACAGACAATGATCTCATAGTGGCAATGATGTTAGAAAAAGAATGATGAGAATGAGAGAATGATGTCACAGTAGGTATGATGTCATAGAGGGAAGGATGTCATTATGGAATGATGATGTCATCTATAGAGGGAAGGATGTCACAGTGGGGATGATGTCATCTATAGAGGGAAGAATGTCACATTGGGAATGATGTCATCTATAGAGGGAAGGATGTCACAGTGGGCATGATGTCATCTATAGAGGTAAGGATGTCACAGTGGGGATGATGTCATCTATAGTGGGAAGGATGTGACTGGGAATGATGTCATCTATAGAGGGAAGGATGTCACAGTGGGGATGATGTCATAGAGGGAAGGATGTCACAGTGGGCATGATGTCATCTATAGAGGGAAGGATGTCACAGTGGGGATGATGTCATCTATAGTGGGAAAGATGTCACAGTGGGGATGATGTCATAGAGGGAAGGATGTCTGAAAAGGAAAGACGTCACAGTGGGCATGATGTCATCTACAGAAGGAAGGATGTCACAGTGGGGATAATGTCATCTATAGAGGGAAGGATGTCACAGTGGGGATGATGTCATCTATAGAGGGAAGGATGTCACAGTGGGGATGATGTCATCTATAGAAGGAAGGATGTGACAGTGGGGATGATGTCACAGAGGGAAGGATGTCACAGTGGGGATGATGTCATCTATAGAGGGAAGGATGTCACAGTGGGGATGATGTCATCTATAGAGGGAAGGATGTGACAGTGGGGATGATGTAATCTATAGAGGGAAGGATGTCACAGTGGGGATGATGTCAACTATAGAGGGAAGGATGTCACAGTGGGGATGATGTCATCTACAGAGGGAAGAATGTGACAGTGGGGATGATGTCATCTATAGAGGGAAGGATGTCACAGTGGGCATGATGTCATCTACAGAGGGAAGGATGTCACAGTGGGGATGATGTCATCTATAGAGGGAAGGATGTCACAGTGGGGATGATGTCATCTATAGAGGGAAGGATGTCACAGTGGGCATGATGTCATCTATAGAGGGAAGGATGTCACAGTGGGCATGATGTCATCTATAGAGGGAAGGATGTCACAGTGGGGATGATGTCATCTATAGAGGGAAGGATGTCACAGTGGGGATGATGTCATCTATAGAGGGAAGGATGTCACAGTGGGCATGATGTCATCTATAGAGGGAAGGATGTCACAGTGGGCATGATGTCATCTATAGAGGGAAGGATGTCACAGTGGGGATGATGTCATCTATAGAGGGAAGGATGTGACAGTGGGCATGATGTCATCCATGGAGGGAAGGATGTACAGTGGGGATGATGTCATCTATAGAGGGAAGGATGTCACAGTGGGCATGATGTCATCTATAGAGGGAAGGATGTGACAGTGGGCATGATGTCATCTATAGAGGGAAGGATGTCACAGTGGGCATGATGTCATCCATAGAGGGAAGGATGTCACAGTGGGGATGATGTCATCTATAGAGGGAAGGATGTCACAGTGGGCATGATGTCATCTATAGAGGGAAGGATGTCACAGTGGTCATGATGTCATCCATAGAGGGAAGGATGTGACAGTGAGGATGATGTCATCTATAGAGGGAAGGATGTCACAGTGGGCATGATGTCATTTATAGAGGGAAGGATGAGACAGTGGGCATGATGTCATTCTATAGAGGGAAGGATGAGACTGGGAATGATGTCATCTATAGAGGGAAGGATGTCACAGTGGAAATGATGTCATAGAGGGAAGGATGTGACAGTGGGGATGACGTCATCTATAGAGGGAAGGATGTCACAGTGGAAATGATGTCATAGAGGGAATGACATATGTAATCCTCTTCATGAAGTCATATGACAAAGAGATTGTACACTTCTGCCACATATTCTCCAAACTGCCATGGATGTGAGCTGAGCTGTAGATCTGAGTCCTACACCTATGCAGAGGGGAGTGAGAAGCACACAACAGCTATTGGGGTAACATGAGTGAGGATAGCTCCACAAAAACAACAAGCATGGGTGGAACTTCAGGGGGCCTCAATATCACTAGTCCAATTCCGTTTCATAGTAAATACTGTCAAGTCTAAGTCTAGCATTTAATGGTAGCATTCGTGTCAAAAACAGATGAAATGCTGAAATTGTGTTGTTTATTGTCTAATCACAGCTAGCTGATCTGTCCCTCAGTTTGAGATCCGAAAAAGATGAGTGAGTGGGTTGGACATGACACTGCTGTGAATGGTACATCTGTTGTATTGAACCAGGTCTGCTTAACGTGGGAGGAAAGTCCAGAGTAACCCATGGTAAAACCCATGACTATGATGCTGTCAAAACAAAAATAACACAGCAAATCTGGAATTTGAAAATATGATCATTACATTCTGACACAACTATGGGATTCAACTGGACAGCAATTTCCATAACTCTAGATCATGATGACTTGTGTGCCTCCATCATTGTCCAGAATGGTTGTATTCGATAATGAATTATTAGTCCTCGTTATACCACTGTACACTGCATCTTATAATCTAAATGTATTATGAGTGAGTGAGTGAGCTGGGCTGAACATGGCTTAGAGTTCCAGTTATATCACCCTGGGGATATAATGGGAAAGAAAAGCCTGAAGTGATGCAGATGTTTACCACTGGAAATCACACAGAAGAGGCAAACCTGAGTTTTAAAAAATGTTCCTGGCCTGCACAAGAGACACAACTCTGTATATGTGGTGTATCAGATGATTGGGCAACTGATATCCTCTCACAATGAAAAGATGATCACAGATTATATATAAATGTTACAACTGAGAAGGTGAGAGTTAAATGAAGGAAATCACAAATCCACATATTTTCTAGAAAGCTTTACACTAACCACTGTAATAAAATACAGAAATCCTGTGACATACTCACTAGGAACAAACAGATTAACATTTTCTCAAAGAAAATATCAGCTCCTAATTGAAGCATTGAGACAGGTTGACTATTATGACCCAATCTGAAGGTGTGATTGTAATATTGACGCCTATTGGTCAAAGCTGCATTCAACCCAACTCACACTTGTGTAACTGTGTATACGATGATGGTGCAAGTGAATGCACGATTTCAGCCACATCTATTTGCTGCCAGGCAAATCAAAAACATTCTAATGTTGGAGCTGCCATATTTTCTCGAGCATAGTGCAATTTCCTTTTTCTTTTAAAAAAAAAACCTCAGTTGAGTAGATTTTTTGATTTTTTGAATAAAACACAGCTGAGTAGAGGGGGTTGTGCATTATATAAGCCACAAAGAACTTTGAAAAAAGGTTTTGTCCATGCGTTTGCTCATACCTGAATTTGTTAAAGGGAAATGATGTAGATTTCTTTCTGCACCTAATACTCTAAAATGTTATGCCCAAAAATATTAACTTTTCTAGCGGGATTTACGTTATGCTCAGATGCACGATATACTCCAGAATATATGGTAATGGTAGATTTAACTCGGCACTTCAAATGGGAGGCCATCTGGACAAAATAAGATCTATTTTGTTAACACCAATTTTCACAAGAGAAAAAGACAATGACAGACAATCAGCCAGGTCACAAATTACTCGCACTCTAATCACTCTCAACCGTGTGTATGTTTGTTACACAACCTATCACACACACCCGCACACAAGCGGCATCCTCTTCCACCCACATTGTATCTGCTTTGTCTGTTGTTGTTGCAAAATTCCAGCAATATAGCAGTAGTATGTAAATAATCGGATCTGGACCAGACTATCCAGTGATCAACCATGGGCATCGATCTACGATATGATGATGTGTCAACCAAGTCAGCAAACCTGACCACCCGATTCCATTAATCGCCTCTTTCGACAAGCAAGGGTTCCTTAAGACCAATTCTAACCCAGATTTTCATGGGTATACCACCCATATTAAGCTAGCATGCCAATATATAACTGTAATACTGTCCTAAGTGGCATAAAAACCCAAGTCACTCACTCACTCTATCATACAGGGTGTGTTAAAAAAAACACCATTAGCGTTAAGACTATTGTAGCGCTAAGATCACTTTTGGACAACAACAACCAGGTCAGCACAAATAGGTTACGTGGACATGTGGCGGAAAAACAAAAAGGTTCTTAAAAATTTGGGGGAAAAAGACTGGGATGAAAACATGGGATACAGTATTTCTACCTATTTCGGGATGCCTGGTAGCATCCCCCCCCAATTCTAAGGTCAGGATGCACCAAACACTGGGAACATGCACTCATCCTCTCCCTGCCTTTGTCCGAGGCTCTTTACCATAGTGCTTTCCTCAAAACTAGTCATT